AAGATTATTCTCAATTTTCTTGTTGTGTTCCACAACTATACTTCTGTATACTTCAGTGATTGGGCTGATGACTCCAGTGAAAGGGCTGGTGACTCTAGTGAAAGTGCTGGTGACGATGAGAAAGACCATAAACCAGGGATTCCTTCGGGAGCATGTAAGATTATATCCAAAGTTTGTTCGCCAATGGGGTGTGTCTGGGTGTCAAAGATCTTCAAGGTGGGTGCTACTTGTGATGAACTCTAGAAGGATGGGGTGGTAATACTCGGTCTGGCCGTCTGGAAGCCCATAGAATTCCAGTTCAGAAACCGAGTAAGGAGGTGCGGCTACTGATGAGAAGCCTCCTTAAAGTTTATTTGGGTTAGAAACGACATCTGGGTCCCTACCCTCGCACAAGATTATTCTCAATTTTCTTGTTGTGTTCCACAAACATAAAAATGTGTCAAACAGTAAACACACAATGTCACATTGTACTCGAAATTTAGACGAGTAACATCCGTCAATTTAAACGGCGGATTGTGACAATAGACTTGCTCTAACCAGAGCCCTCTCGCTTGCAGTAGCGCGCGACCGCCGAAACAAGCGCGTCACGCAGTACACATATACACATGGCTATGTGAAATCGTGAGTCAAAATGTCACAATGACATTATATTATATGAAAATAACCCTCCAAAAACTCACTATTTTGAAAATCACCCTAGGCCTTGCAGCCCCAAGTTCAAATCTAAACTGTCTAATATTGACAAAGTTCTTTCTATGGCCCTCTGTTTCCCCGGAGAGAAATTACCGTTGTTCTTAAGATTTCGAAACGAAGGCGCTTCCTAATGTATCCCACAGCATGCTGAGTACCTCTGCCCTGTGTGGTATTCCATCAGTTTATCAAATCGCACTTCATCGTTGTGTTGTCAACAAACTGCTACAAGAGCTGCACCATCAAAACGGGCTTCATGGTTAATGGTAAACTTTCTGTGATTGGACTCGGTATTTTTATTTTTATATAGGGTCATTGTGATATTATGTGTATATTGTTTGAAATTCTTTTAAAAACATATCAACCCCTTCCAATAGGATTGCACAGATGATTTAATGGGCAAATCAAAGATTAAAGGCTGTGATGATCTTGCTGATCAAGGTAAAGAGCTTTGGAAACTCATTCAGTCAGATCTATTGGTCACCAATGGTAAGCCTGTGATGTTACCGCCAGCTCCTTTTCAGAAACATGTTGATAGCTACCGGGAAGAAGAGTTAGAAGAGGTTAAAAGGAAGAAAACATTTGATCAAAGTCGAATTGATTATGATGCTGAGTGTATAGTTTACCGATCTCTAGAAAATTTGGATCAGCCTAAGATCATTGTTTTGCATGACTTACAATACTCAAAGAAACAGTGTGAGGACATGATGGTTAAAAAACCAACTGCAGGTCAGCATGACTTTGTTGTCTTAGTCCCTGGGCATGCTGTGATAATTATAGAAGTAAAGAGACCGGCACAAGATACAGTAAAAAGTTTTCAGCGTTCGTGGAAATCTGCTGGAACTCAAATAATGCGGTTCACCAGATTATTTTTTTATCTAGACACTTATTTTACTTCGGAGTATTCCAACAGCCATATTGTTACACAAGTGCAACCAGCCAATTACAGGAAGCCGAAGGATTTGTTTTTAGCCAGTGACGGTTAAGGTAGTGTGTACCATACTTTCTTCGCCCGAGACTTTGCTGCAATGTGCAGCTCCTCATTTAACCCTCACACCCGATTTCTCGAGTATTCGGCTGAGTAGACCGGGGGGGCTGCATAGACCACTCACGATCCTTAGCTGAATGTCAACGACACTCACCCCACGACCAGGCAGGCAGTGGGATTTGAACCCGCAATCTCACGATTGCAAAGCTGGCTAACCAACTGCGCTACCTTGTACAAGGATTGAAGAAGAGGAGTTGAGAATCTTGGATTTTCGTGCCTTTCCGTTTCTAGACCGTGAAATTGCTTCCAATAAAGCAGACAAGCCTTCTCTTTTGTGCAAACAAGACTTCAAAGACTTTCCAAAGTGGTGGGAAACAAATGTCTCAAGTCAGATTAGAAAATCAGTAGAAAATTCAGTGCATGACAGTCTCATCCAATTGGATCGCTGTTTTTTAAAGCAAGAGAATGTCTTGATGGGTCTTTGGGTTGACAATTACAAGCTGGAGTCATCTGTCCAATCTACATTGTCGAGGAACCTGGTTGCAAATATACATTACTATATTGACAACATGCTAACGAGCCAAAAGATTTACCTCAACCATCAGAATAGACCAGATAATCTTGTCAAGTTACTTCATTCGGATCATAGTTACTTAACTAAATCCAAGCACTTCAGTCAAATAAAGTATTTGACTCAGGATCAAGATCAACTCCTTTCTGCTGGTCCACATGTTCTTGTGAATGGTCCTGCTGGTTCAGGAAAGACGTTGATTATGTATGCAAGGATTCTGAAATTGCTATCTGATATGAGAGGACAAGAGGAGCAAATCCTTATCTTGGTTCCTTGGAAAGGTGCTGCCGCTGAATTAAAGAGATTAGTAGAAGAGTTTGATGATTCTATATCTGTCCAAATGGTTGATCTTGTCGATGAGATACGTGAGCAGAAATGTGATCCTGACCTTTTTGATAACATGCTGAATAAATGTAAGGAATTCAAAATGATAATTTTTGTGAAGCCAAATTTCCTTCTAAACATTAGCTTGACCAAAAGATACAATCACGATAAGCTGAGGCATGTCCATGAAAGTTTTATTGATATGCTTAAGGACAACAGAAAACATATATTCTGTGATGATTTTCACAACAGCATTGCTCACTATATCAAGTATTGCAAGACAAATTCGGGCCAGTTTATGTATACTCTTTCAGAAAATTGTAATAACAGTTTGCCACTTGCCCATTCTATACTAAGCCTCCTGAATACTCCGTGTGGATCTCAAAGGATATTATGGGTAGGTTGTGATATGATCCAAATTGTGCAGTATGGATTTTGGGGAGAGGAACTTAATAAGGAGGTACCAAAACATGTCCTGGGATTAATAGGTGAACTTCGAGTTCGATACACACAAGTGGTTCTCCTAACTGGAAATTTGAGAAATACTTACAGCATTGCAGTGCTTTTGAAGGAACTAAGAGGAAAATTTTTGGAAACAGCTGAGAAGTTTTGTGGAGAAGATTTGAAGCAAATCCTACCAAATCAAGAATTTCAACACTTTCATCGTGGAATTACTCCTCGTCTTTACTGTGTCCAAGGAAAAGGCTCATTTGAAAGGGCAGCTGAAGTTGCTAGAAAAGAGTTAATGATGATGTTCAGATCACTGTCAGTCTGTTTCAATTGCAATGAAAATGAAGCATGTATTTGCGATCTGCCTAAGACTATCAAAAATGAAATGGCTTTAATTCCAGTATACCACAATGGTTCTCACGAAGCTGATCTTAATCATCCAGGAAGCGGTCTTAGTGCATTTTTGGACTTTAGGAGTAGGGTGAAGTCAATTGCAGAGGAATTTGACTTTGCTGGTTGTAGCATTTTCACTGACAATGTAAAGTATGCCAACTCGATGGAATTTCCCTTTGTCATTTTGATGGTAGACATGTCATATTGTGAACCAGAAGAATCTCATGGTGAGGAGGTTCTACTAAATCTACTCGCCCATCTTTATGCTGGTGTCTCCAGAGCTAGAGTTTGTTGCTCCATCGTTTTGATTTAAAGCTCTAATGATACCCCAAGCAAATGGTTCTCTCAAGTTTGTGATATATTGCATCAGCATGTTAAAACAGTCAATGTTGGATAAATTCACCTCTCACCGCGACTAGTTGTGAAAGCAACGTAAAGTTTAGGATCATCTGTAAAGATGTAAATTCTTAGACCACTTAGTACTCTACGAGTGAGTAAATGTTTGGTGTTTTAGTGGAAGTGTGTGTTGTCGATTTAGTGAGAACTTAATATTTTTAGTGTGATCGCAGCTTTTAACTGTTCCCTTTTGGGGTACAACCCTAAATTTCTTATTTCATTGAAAATTTCTTGTTTTATTGATTTATTACATGATTCCCAAAAAGATACATTTTTAAGTTATTAGAGAAACAATTTTTCGAAAAGTGATTACGTAATATGTGAACGACCCCTTAGACAATCACCATTGCTGAATTTATTTGTATTATATATTGTTTGAATGAATTTTATTTCAAGCGAGAAAAACTCTCAGATCGATTTTGGGCGTTTTTAACCACTTGTAATGTTTTAATTATTAAATATCTTAATTTATAAATTTGTATACGAATTAATAATTAATATAATTTGATAATTTATTCGATAGTTTAGTCTGATATTGATATTGATATTGATTATATTGATATTGTTATTATTGAATTAAGCTAACTCCAGACATAAATAATACTACTTCTATTAACAAAGGGACTTGGAGTATAAACGATCAAGTTTGCATGATTGTCTATCCAACCAAGAATTCAGGAGGAAAGGGTCGGGTGGGTGCATAAACTTTATGGTCATTGGTCTGCATTCTCCGATCCTGTATCACCCTGGTTTCTTTTCGACGTATTTTTCCATTCACACCCTTTTGTAAAAAAGCAATAGTGAAAGGTTACGAATGATCATTTTTGCAAAAAAATCCTTCCTTTCGTTAGTTACCATGTCAACTAGCCGCACGCAGCGCGGAAGGGTCGCTTGCGGAGATGTGATGTATAGCTAGCCTGTGATCAATGAATGCACGGTGCGAGTGTATTTTAATGTATACTACGTAATGTAGTACTCTCTTGCTACTCCAAGTCCCCTAAGATATCTGGTCTAAAGTTCGTGCTAGTATAGTTATATATACAAATATATTTTTGTCTGCTTTAATTGATACTAAATAAAATTGTTGTTTTCTTGAAATTGTTGTTTTCTTGAGACTTTCTATGGAAATATCAAAATTATGCTCTTTTTTATCGGTATCATATTATAAACATGCACGATATTTTCAATAATTTGTTTTAATTTTGATGTAAAAGATATCCCTAGTACGTAATAACCTAATCTCAATAATTCAGAATGTCGAAAACTGATTACGATTACCAGTTACGGATAGTATTGTCAGGTGAAACTGGGGTGGGTAAAACGTGTCTTCTGAACCAGCTATGTAACAACGAGTTCATCATACCTCCACTAACAGTAGGGGTGGATCAGCAGTACTACACCTTGCAGTTCCAGGGGATGAAAATAAAACTTCAGATAATTGATACAGCTGGAAATCATCGTTTCAGAGGAATAACTAAGTAAGTGTAATGATTTGAGATCTAAAGGATCCTTTTTTAAAACCATACCACCATCTCACTGATTTCACATTCTGGGGGCCGGGGGGAGGTAATTTTGTGACACGTGACAGCAATCAACCAATCAGCTTCCAGTATTGGTCACGTGTGTAAAAAATCCTCTCTCACCAGCATCTATATTTTGTAACACGTATCTCCAGACTGTAACCTGTGTTATTTCAGGACGTACTATAAGGGTGTAGCAGCTGCAATCATAGTGTACGATGTAACACAGAGGCAGACCTTCAGAGAGGTGGAGTCCTGGGTGCAGGACTGTTTGTTGCAATGTGAACCTAATACCACTCTCTTGTTGCTCGGCAACAAGTGCGATATTGCTGACAAGAGACAAGTCCCCACTGAAGTTAGTTTTATTTCAGCAAACAATCTTACTTTCTCAAGAGTTATTCAGAGAATTCTGGATAATCTCGAACTAAACCTTAAAAAGATCAAATTCTTATTTTGCGAGTACTTAAATTCGCCCTGGAAATAAAGTGGAAAATGAAATCAGTTTATCTGCTAATCATGACATAAACACTAATTAATTACTCAGGAAGGTCAAGAATTCGCAAAGAAACACAAAATGATATTCTTCGAAACGAGCGCCCACAACCACAAAGACATCATAACGGTGATTAACGTAATAGTAGAACACGTTTACTGCACCCTGGTCACCGGTAAAACCCAACTGGGCCAGGTAACCGGGATTAGAGACAAGTCCATGGACCCGGGCATCACGTTAGAACACGAGATCGAGACAGAAGATGTACAATCTGATTAGCAGTACCACCTGGACACCTTATCTTATTGTCTTCTAGAATGATCTCATCAAGTTTTGTTGCGATATTGTGTAGCTCTGCGTGCACACATGTGGTGTTTGCGTTTTCTCTGCTGTTTAACGTTGTATTTGTGTGTGTGTGTTTCGGGAGTCACTTACACAGACATGTCATCTCGGTACGTGATTCTAGGGTAGCTAGGTACTTACTTATAATTACTACACTGTCGTACACACTCACATTATTGTAAGAGTTCTAGCTCATCTCCTCCCATTATTATATACAGTGTACCTAACCAGTGTACATTGTTATATAATACAACGCACCTAGTTGTGTGTATACACTGTTGATCATACTACATGTATATAATATGGGGTATAAACTATAATATTAAAACACCACTACACTATCATGTGTAATGTGTATTATAATACTGACCCCTAAGTGTACACTCCCCCTCTTCTTCTTGATCGTGATTGGCTGATTTGTTAATTAGTGAGGAGTTATTAATTAGCTACACGGTGGAATGTGTATCTGTTTACACGTGGCAAGACGTACGAGAGTTGAGGCACATCTAGGTGTGCTCAGTAACTTGGTGTGTATTGCACCTAAAGCTGGTGCGGTGGTGTGACGTGGGAGTACTTACAATTGCTGTTTTATTTAATTATGCTAATAATTTGTTATATCGTGAGGTGACAACTTGGAGATATGTATGTTGCTCGTGATTGAGACTTTGAGAGAGGGAGCAGCTGGTTATCTCACGTGTTTGTATGTTTTGTTAATAGTTTAATCACAATAATAGGGAAAATAATTTCTCTTGGAGAATTTCTCTTTAGACTCTTAACTTGCGAACAAATTGAAGCAGCAAACTTTAGGCTAGAAACTTTATTGAATTGAAATAATCAACAACGTCTTCTTCAGTTCTCAAATTATTTGTTATATAGTAGTGTTGAAAGTATTAATACTTTTTTTTTAATACTTTCAACACTACTATATAACAAATAATTTGAGAACTGAAGAAGACGTTGTTACGTGGAATGATTATTTCAATTCAATAAAGTTTCTAGCCTAAAGTTTGCTGCTTCAATTTGTTCGCAAGTTAAGAGTCTAAAGAGAAATTCTCCAAGAGAAATCAAGTTCAAATGCGACTCATAAATATAGCCCCCTTGAACTATAGGGAAAATAAGCGCTCAACTCTATGTTTTAGAATGTTTTAATGTTTTAATTTTTTTTGAAAAACGTTTTAAGAAATTCGGTTTTTAACCTGCACTCATAAAAAGGGAACTTACAAGATTATTTACTTTCACCCATTTATGTCTTTAAAGGTTCGGGTTGCATCGTTAATTTTCTCTAAAAATTGTTTTTCGTTTAATACCATAATATCAGACTATGATTTTTCTTGATTCTGCATAATTATGATTTCGTCTTTAAAGAGGTTACAATCCCTTTTTGAAGTACACCATGTATAATATTAATATAACATACTTTAATCTTTGTTCTTTTTATGTTGATATAAAGGTTCGGTTGAACGTTAACAATCGATAAAGGTTGAGTTTTTTGTATCGTTCGTTTCAGATCATATCCGAATTGTAAATATTGGGTTGAATTACTTGTGTAACTTTCACAATGCCTCAAAATTCTGTAATATATATGTGTGTACCCTTAATGATGCTTGGCTTTAAATAACTGGCATTGACATACATTATTTGTATATCATTTACATAATTATCACTTTCTTTGCGAAATAGAATGTGAGAGAATGTGAAAGAGAATGTGAAAGAGAATGTGAAAGAGACTTCATACAATATATAATGAGCTGGATCATTTCATTTTGTATTTTAATCACGTACTAAAAGCTTTTGATGTACAGTAAACCGCCATATTCTGAGAATCTTTTCTTCAATCGATATTATAATAATTGAACTTCAGACTTTTAATTCTAGGGTTTCTTCTTACCGCTTGTGACATTCTTTACTTTTAAGATATGCTTCTGTTCTAGTTGATTAATAACAAAACCGTGCAATTTTCTCGCTAAATTCAGACATCTAGAAAAAGAAGAGAAAAAAAAACATTCATTTTTCCCATGGTCTCAGCTAATTAAAAACGTGAGCCTGTGATCTTCAAAAAAGTTCTCATCATAATCAAATTCAATCAAATTTCGTCCACCATTATTCTCCACTCCCACCCAACTGTAGTAATAAGTACAACGTTACACTTGCAAAACTAACAACAGTACTTTACAGGCCGTCCAGTTGTAATGTAACACTAAGTAACACTTGTAAATGTAACACTTGTTACAAGGAATAACGGGTCTCATAACGTCACTCTGTAAGTTGTGTTGCAACAAGGCAATTGTCTAGATGATCGCACTGCTGCTTCGGGAGAGAGTAACTACTAACTATATAGTGGTATATATTACAGAGAGTGCAATTGTTGCGCAAGTGTGCATTAAACTTTAAATACCACTTTATTGTATAAGTTACTATGAAGTAACATTTTAAGCTAATGTCAGTGCCATGCCATTAAAGGGTAGCTATGGCGCTTTGCTGTCTCTTATTTAAAATCTTTGCCGTGATCCAGAGTGATTCGAAAAATTTAAGGTTATATTAGGCTGACATCCTGAAAATATAACTCAGAGGTGCTTCAGCTTACTCCTACATCAATTTCTATGTCTGAATTTAGCAAAACTTTATAGACTTGCATTAACTATTTAACTGGTTTGGAGGTGAGCCATATTTTTGAGACAGCCTTTAACCAATTAACTTCCAGTGGTGACCAATCAAATCCCAGAATCACTGTAACGTTTCAAAAAATTGCTCACATTTCTAACAGTATCCAAGCCAATACTACAGCAATATTTCCTTATCGGGAATTTTGTTTTGTCCTCTAACTCTGAATTTGTTAACCTTAGACTGCAATATTCTGCGTGGTTCTAGCTTCGAATATGGTTAAGTTTTGGTTCAAGATTCATGGGGCTGAATGTTTTAAATTCTTGCTAAATTTATGTTTTATTTTTTATTAGCCAGAGAATACTTATGATTGTAGTTGACGAATATTTTATATAAATTCAAAATTGATTTTGTTTCTACAAAAGTAGCAATGTGTATCATTCGTGTCATTTTACTAGTAAGTAGTACTAAGTACAGTATAATCAGTTAAAGTTTTGCAATGTAATGAAATTTTAAATGTTCTGTGTAAACGTTGTTAAGCATGATGAAATTTGTAGCTAGCACTTCTTTTTAAAATACTGCACACAATTTCTTAGCTGTGTTGTACACAAATAAAATATTGAGTGGATATTTTGTATGTATTTGTTCTGGAGTTCTAACCTCACTAACATTGCTCATCCCTCAGATTAGGGTCATGTCACGTGTACCGACTTTCAATTCTGCTGGATCTGGTAAGACAGTACTAAAACATTAATATGATCCCCTATTCTATCTATCAAGATAACATTATACTTCGGAACAACAACTATTTGCAGGATATTATATCCTCTGCTCATTCCCCACACACACTCCCAGTTAATGAGAGTTCCTGCGGGGATGACAGGACTTGCAATATCTGTCTGGAATACCATAGAAATACATCATATGTGTCCAACATCTCTCCCCGTGTATAATATCTGTTTATTATGTACATTATATCGGTTGTACTCACAGGGCGTGTGACACGTGTGACACGTGTGACACACGTGTGTGTATGTGTGTTCGTCTGTGTGTTCGTCTGTGTGTGTATTGAGACCTTAACACGTACCCGGATCACATGGAATGTTCCCGAACGTCCAACATCTCATTTTGAATTATATAATCAGGTATTAGAGCATCTTGACAGAGCCATGTTCTAGAACTTACTCTGCTATTATTATCGGGTATTATAGCGAAATACTGCGCTCTAATTAGTAGAAGGGGCACAGAATGTCGCACTTACTTTATTACTTTTTACTGATAAATAACTACCTACCTACCGCACTTACTTTATTACTTTTTACTGATAAATAACTACCTATTTAACTACATAAACTTAAGTCTTACGTTATGACTAAACCTCTATCTTGAAACTCTCTTAAGTTATGACGCATTCACTGCACTCCCTTTCCGAGTGATACTACAATTAATGATCTCACGATACCAGGAAGAGCAGACTGACAGTTAGGTTTGTACTTTGTTGGGTGAAACCTCACTGTGGGCAATGTTAGTCAAATAAAGAGACGTGTATCTAGTCGTTATTTTGGCCTATACTTTTTAAATCATAGTAATATCTTGATTAACAGTTAATATTAAGACATAAAGTCATGGTGATATAATGTGTTCACATTATTAACATCAGGATCTTATATTATATTTAGGATAGTCCTGGAGTCGCTTGAGCTGTTGATAAATACTTGGATATTCTCTGCTCAATAAAGTTGTGGGCAATCATCCAGACTGAACCTCAATCATGTCAACAGTTCTAATCTTGTTAATTGTATTTACGACATATAACGTACACGTCAAACTTGATAGCCACCAATTAGCGAAGCGGAATTGTTAATTACCAGTTTTGTAATTGTTTGTACAGACAGTAATTTTCAGAGCATCAGTAAGATACAAACAAAGTTCCACGGGGTTTTAACTTGAACTGATTTGAACAACTTTCACACTATAGTTTGTTATAGGATGTTGCTGACAGGTATTCAAGCTGCAAGCCTTTAAAACTGTTGAATATCAGATGGAACTTATGTTTACCGTAACATAAGATTTCTTTAAAGAATGGGGGCCGTCCGTACCTAGGCAGCTAGATTACTAAGCTCTGCTGATTCGTGAAGAGCGTTAAATGCGATTACAAATCTAATAATCTAGATAATATTGGTAAATCAGATTATATATTATTGTCTTTTTTTCCTATAAAGTACGTTATTAGCAACATATCACAGTTACAAGTGACGAAATTTTATGCGGTTCTTATGAATGTTTTAGAGCGGCCAATTTCCAAATGTAAATAACTGATAAAAGTTAAAACCTTCGTTCCACCGAATATCGTGTTTCTTGAGTCAAAAATATCAGATAATCGGTCACATTTTACACCACCTCACAGAGAATTATACCCTAATATTTAAATTCATCGAAATTTTGGTAATGAACACAAATTTGCTGGTGACCACACAAACATTTGCAGAGTAAATGCAAGATGACCATTTCCTGCAAACTAAATGTCCCAATTTGTTACTTAATCGTGTGCAGCTATGTTACACGGCAATTAATTTCTCCTATTGGCATCCTCCTGGCCTCCATTTACTAATAGCAATACTGTACAACTTTGTGTGATTGCATACTGTTGTTCGTTTCGTAGGGGTCTTTTAGCACTTAGGTGGGAGAGCGTCTAAAAGTAAATATTAGAAGGAATTGACCGAAGTCGAATAGAATCGCATGTGATCACCGTTATTGTGGTTTTTGAGTTGCTGCCAAGTTATTGTATTTTTCTTGCGTTTAAAGGGTGAGTTGGAGTCACTGCCGGTGAACTAATTGTTATAAACTGTTTTGTCGGACAATTTAAAGGATTCGTAGCTATGACAGTATAGTATGACCGTATTGCAATTTTTTGTTCTCAATGCTTTGTTCAGAAAATTCTCCGCGATTTTAAAGGGAACGAATGGTTCTTGAAATCATCAAAGCGTTCAAAACAGCATTTTTGGGATCGTATACATTCAATTACTATCCAAGTAAAGAAAGTTTGATTATGGAGATGTGAAAAACATTTCATTTTTCGTAATTTTGAAATGTTGAAAATATCTTTTACATCTTGACCTCCACTGTGTTTAGCTAAGTGCACTTAAATTTACATTAAATTAGATAGAGCATATTGTATACATTAAAACAAGAGTTCTTTAAATTCTAATACATTAAACTCAAATACAGGGTTATTGTCACTAAAATCGCAAATCAGTTTACTCAGCTTGCAAATTTGTACATTATTCTCTCTGGTGACTGGTAGACTTGTCCAGTGAATGGAAAAATAGGACAAAATATCAAATAGGTTATAGGACAAAATATTGAACAAAAAAAACAAGTATTAAGGAAAGTTACTTAAAACATTTCTTAACCTGTTTACAATGATAAAGTGCATTGCAACAAGATTCTCTCTTGTTATTACCAATCACGGCTTTGAAGCACGGATTATCCTTACACTCACAACTGGTTCCTCTGTTAAGTAACGCAAAACTGGACGCTTTAGAACAGTCCTGGGCATTATCCAGAGAGCCCTGGCTGCACTTTATACTGGCTATCTTGCAGTCTGAAACAGTGGATTAAATTGCCCACTTAAAATGTAATACCAGTTACGTTTTATTACCGAACTGTTCTTTGTTAGTTATTTTGGTGGATGATACATTATATATTATTTAGAGAGCTAGTAAATACCTTTGAAGGTGGATTCAGCGCTAGGAGCGCTATTACTGGCATCACATCCATATTTCTCCGCTATGTTCTCCTGGACGTTCTTGCCAAATATGCAATCGCAATCCATCCTGGCGATCTGAGTGTTCATGCAGTCTGTAGCTCCAGCTCCTGAAACTTCGTATTGGTGTTTATATAGTGGACTGTTAATATGACCTTACTGAACCCTAGGAAGTCTAAGACCCACATTTTAACCTTAGCAGCCAAAACAGAGCTCTAGTTTAACGGAATTTTAGGCCCACATACCTGTTTGCCCTATTCTATAGTTATTTTGTAAAAGTAAAAAGTTGATAATAACTTGCATTCAATAAACGTTGTATGGACGGTAGTCTGCTTTAAATTTAACCGGAGCACTTTTAACGAACACTTGATTGTTGAACAAGTGATACTCAGAATCGTATTATTGCTACATACTGAGTTCTGAGGCCCTAGTTACTCGCTTGTGCATTTAAGTATAAAGTAGAATTTAAAGTATCGAATTTCTTCAATATTATTTATTAAAATATAAATTTGCATACCATGTGGCAAAAAAAGCACAGCCAGCTCCATAGTCACAAGAAGCTTCATCGCCACGTTTCTGTTAAGCAACATTGTTTCAAAGGAACAATTTGTTGACTCGTTGACTTGGAAAGTGTTCACAGCAAATTTGTTCAAACGGTAACTAAATAGAATTTTAAGCACTGGTATTTGAGGGAATCAATCTCTAACGCTATTTTATAATTATTGCAACATTTCAAATATTACCTAACATAAAAGCAAAATGACTATGGAAATGAAAGGCAACTGGACAAACTCTTTTCATTGTCCTCATACAGACCTGGGCACTGATTTGCTTAAATTATCAGCTTCAAGCTAGGCTGTTATAAACATCTTTAGGCGTGGTAAAAATCCTTAGAATTTCTGTTCGTTATAACACTGTGGCTTATGTTGCTAGCAGCTGCCAATTTGGCAATCTTGTCATACAAGATGATAATATTATAATTACTCAATTTTAAGCGGTTAGAATATATGAATTTTACTTTATTTGTTGGCTTAATCACTAGTGCGCTGGCTATGATCATGGTGCTTACGCAATTATTTAGATAATAGAAATCAAAAGACACCGGGTGCCTTGATGACAAAGATGGTGCGCTAAAGACGTTCTAGTGCATTATGCCAAGTTTTCTGAAATATATCAGATCTTTATTACAATATTCATAAACCCTAATGATGAAAAGATTGAGCGATTAGTAGGTTTCATGGCTCCAAGCCTACAATTATTAGAAGTCGTAACTCCTCAGCACTCAGCAGAGCAGTGTGTGTTGCCACATGAATGGTTTATTTACGGGCCATGGGTTATTGGAAGAGGATTATTGGATATAGGTGCATTCAATTCATTATTTTAAAGAGAAATTCCAATAAAAGAGAAGATCGTATCTTCTCTCTAGCACCAAATCAAATAGTAAAAAATTAAACAATGGCCCCCAGGCTTGAGAAAAAATTAAATATTCATTGTGAGAATCATCGTTAAATGTTGGTGCCTGCAAATACTTTGATATATAATGTAGCAAAAGGCATGTTTCATCTCATGAATGTAGATTGGTTTGATGATATGATGGTTGGTTGTTTGCAACAAACCATTACTTTTGTAGTTGAGGACGATTAAAACATGGGTTTTGAAAGCTTTGGTTACTACAAACTATCTTTTCATTTAGACCCCAGGCGGCAGGCCTAGCTCGAAGGCACGTAACGTGTCACGTTATCGATAACGAGATGTGTTATGTGCCGTCTAGCTAGGACCAAAGACTCCATCTCGTACTGTGGTCTGTCTGCAGAGTCAGCTGACCCCAGGGGCCTCAGAATAATAAAGGGATAAAAGAAAAGTACCCACAAGGATAGAAACATAAGAAAAGACAGGGTTTGCAGGGTATGGTCATTTATAGAAAAGAAGAACACACAAATTGACAATTGACATGTATAAGAAAGTTGATGTTCATTAATAATCCAAATCCCATGCGGGGAATAAAGGATGTAAAACCCGAACTGTAGAGGTACTGATGATGCGATGTACTGGTGTGACACAAGCACTAAGTTCTGCTAGTGCTAACATTGTTAACATTGTTAGAGGTAGACACTGTTTTCCAGGATTGAAGTAGACTAAAGACGGTAAGAGGAAGCAGGATGTGTCAAAATGAAAAGTGTACCCGATGACCTGACATGAAAAGAGCCTTACTTTTGTAATCGAAGCAGTTACCGATGAACAGGTTGTTAGCCATTTCCATAGTGTGATTTTAATTCCAAAATGCTATTGCAGTTCCACTAATTGGCGAGTAGGTTTGCTCCTCTAAAAGGAAATTTGATCGTTCTCTCAGATCTTGGAAGTTTCTGTTTTATATTATATTCTATAAATTTGGCCGGAAAAATTATAAAAAGTGAAATAATTTTGGCCTGGTAATCTGAGACACAAGATTGTGACTCAGATCCTCAGCGACTTTATAATTCATCCCCACTGTGCAACAAAATATAATCAAACTTAAACTTAAAGCATTAATGGCAATTAAAAGTATTGAAATAAGATTTTACCTGTGTGAACTTATTTCGCTAAAGAGTTGCTCATCGAATATCGGAATATCATACATGTATTATTGTGCGAGTTAGGACATTATAACTGTAATAGAAAGGCATGTTTAAAAGCTTGTTGTACTTGATTTCAAGCTCGACAATGTACACAGGTCACAGTTTATTCCATTTAAAGTTCAGGGCTTGAAATTTGCCCCTAAAATTAAATAGCCCTCACCAGATGATCTGAAGATGGTGTCTGTTAGAACGTGACACATTCTTAGGTCCACCTTTAACACCTGTAATGCTCCGATAATAACCAGGGCTGTCCTTTTATAAGGGATAATTACAATGTGGGACAAAACCACAAGATCAGCTAAATACTAGCTTACATTCACCATAAGTTTGATGTGGGATGGTACTCAAGGTAGCGTGCATAACAACGAATGGTACGATGTGCTGCGCGTGCAGTTGTGCAAAATGCGCGTTTTTGTTACGTACTGGATGAAATTAAAAATTTACAAAGTAATTTGGTGTACGTTTCTTTCAGGTTAAGTGATTTGTAAGTTTCCTCAGTACTGTTTTGCTCGACTTGTTAGACCTTACCAGTTTGTCCTAATCAATTCCATCTATTTAGCAACCAAGAATGGCGTATGCGTATCTTTTCAAGTACATTATCATTGGGGATACCGGGGTTGGGAAATCGTGTCTTTTACTGCAGGTATAGTTTATACTTCTTTGTTACTTCTTTGTTACTTTTTGTGTAATTACAGTTTACTTATTACCCCTCCCATTCCAGATACTATTATTAGCTTAGTATCAATCTGTTGTCAGAACCCCTTTGTTCCTAAACATGCCAGCTGGTCTTGGACGTTTGTTCCTGTGCTATTTGGAACCACCGTCCCTTGAACACAATCTTTTGTAGAGTTTAATTAACGCTAACTTTAATTTCAGTTTACGGACAAGAGGTTTCAGCCAGTTCACGATCTGACGATAGGTGTTGAGTTTGGAGCTAGGATGGTTTCTATCGAGGGTAAGCAGATAAAGCTCCAGATATGGGATACCGCTGGTCAGGAGAGTTTCCGGAGTATTACCAGGTCCTACTACAGAGGAGCAGCAGGTCAGATATACGGACATATTCCGCAGTTAGCTTATTATTAATATCAACTTTTAGTGTAGCAATTTAAAAGGGTTGGTTCCGCTGTGCTGGGGCCTTCTTTTCGGCACCAGATGGTGCATTGCAGTTTCTATTGGTATAATGGCGGTAACAGAAGCTGATTGTGATATTATATAATAATTGTTTGATCGCTTACAAGTTAAAACACATTGGCTCATAATACCGGTCTTGCAGGAGCACTGCTGGTGTACGATATCACCAGAAGAGACACATTCGACCACCTGGCAAGTTGGCTGGAAGATGCCAGGCAGCACAGTTCAAGTAACATGGTCATCATGCTCATTGGCAACAAATCTGATCTTGAGTCATCTCGGCAGGTTTGATATTCTTCGTCTGTATAATCAGTTTCCTAAAACCTGGCTATCTGCAATTTAATATTCAGGCAAAATAACATGGTTCATAATATGTAGCAACTTTTACAACAGCCGTGTTCGTACTCACTATTAAATAGTATGCTGATGTTTAATCTTGTTTGTTTAGGTATCAAAGGAAGAGGGAGAACAATTTGCTAAAGAACACGGATTGATATTCATGGAAACAAGTGCTAAAACAGCTGATAACGTCGAGGAAGCCTTTATTGGGACCGCTCAGCAGATTAACGAAATGATTAAGGTACGTGAACACTGGACTTAGTACACATTTTCAATATCAAACACTGCATATTTTCAAAATCAGAGAACAGTCATTATCCATGTCACCAAATCGAAGATCACAGAAGTTAAATTTTTGCCAAACTACCGAATTCCAGCTCCACATAATCTATTTGTATTCCGTACATTTCCACTTCCACAGTATATAAGATGCAGGTAATGAACCACATGAACTGTCCATGGTGTTCATTACCTGCACAGTGCATAGTGATCGTGGTAATACTGGAAGTGTAAATACTGTATATCGTATTACAGAAAGGAGTGTTCGATGTGAGTAACGAGGCTAACGGAATAAAGATAGGACCACAGAACCCAAATGCTGGTTCCTCAATGAACCCTAACAACGGACAACAGGGCGGGGGCATGTGCTGCTAGAAACATTTCTGTTTTAATAATTTAATTGATGAGTAATGATACAGCCGGACTGTATATTATCAGTGTGTCTACTACAGCTTGTCCAGTTAAATTCCACTAAAAATTATTTGCAGTTTAATTAAATTTCACATGAGTTAAATTTCACATTTGATATTAAAGAGGCATCGAAAGAAATTGTAAATCCCTCTGATGGCTTCTTAATTTTCACTAACAGTTTAAAAATCAATAAATCCCCCTAGTTATCTGATACATGTATCTTTTATCGTTAAAATATCCGTTTCTTCTGCCCCTAGGTGAGATTAGTGTCCCACGCCTTGTCGTAGAGAACTTAAAAACAATGGAATGTCGATTTTGTTTAAAAAAGGAATGAAGTATTTAGAGTAAGGATTGTCTAATTTACGAGCTAAAGAATATTTAAATTATTTTGTTTTATCGAGTAGTTGTTTACCGCGAGGATTGTGCAAACATGCAACATTACTGTGCTTATCAATGGGAACTTTTAATTGACGTCCTGTGTTTTTAGTTCTTATAATAGTTGTATTTTGACCACATTTGCGGAGTGGATACTGGACTAACAAATGTATTTTCCTCTTTTTGCTTTTGTTCAATTCAGAAAATTTTGGAATCAAACTTTAAATGCATTATTTGAGGGTATTTAAATTACGTGATAATATCTGTTGACTATTGTGATACTGCTCAGTCAAAAGGTTGCTTGAATACTTGGAAAGTCGTGATGAAATTTAATTTGAATATGTAAATATCGATATTGATTAAACTATAAATGAAGGACTTGTTTACTTTTATCATTTCAATAAATTCGAAAGACAATCATCCTAGTTTCCAAAATCTTAAATTGCACTGTAATGATAAGTGTGTGGATTTTCAGACCCGATTCCGGACTATAGTTTGATTTCGGTCGGAGGAAGCTCAGAACAGAAAGCTTAACAAAACGAAAATTCATATTTTCCAATTCCTGTCCCATTTTCAAATATGGAAATTTCTGAACTCAAATTTGACAGATTGGGTGGACTTTTTGCCAAGAAACCAATTAGTCAGTTAATTAATGATAGTATGAAACCAAAGGGGGGTACTGCAAGTCAAAATCCCGAAGAAAATAGAAAAATCATGTTGTCCCAAACTCTGTCCCATTTTCAGTTTTTGAAGATGAAACTTCCAGAACCGAAATTTTACAGTTTTGACTGAATTTCTCACCCGCAACCAATTAGTCAGTCAACTATATATATATATGGCATATGACACGATTGAGGTGCTGGAAGTTTGATTTTGGTCAGAGGAAGCTCAGAACAGAAAGCTTAACAAAATGAAAATTCATATTTTACAATTTCTGTCCCATTTTCAAATATGAACATTTCTGAACACTAATTTGACAGACTTTTTGCACAGTGCAGAAACCAATTCTCACTTCTATAGAATAACCTGCCCCACACTGCACTCTAGTTACGTTCATGTGCGCTGCGCGTGGGATATAATAATATAAACTGACGTGCGCGCGCTACCAACACATGGTCGCGCGTTTACTTCAGGATATTTTATGTTAGGCGTCGCCGCTGCATCCATCTCACATCGTTCAATGTTGGTTTCAGAGGATGTTTTCACTGAGTTGTATCGTTGCCCCCATCCTGAATCTGCCTTCATATATAGGTTGCGCATGCGCGTTCCCTACAACATTTGGTTTATATTATATCTTAGGATGGTTCACGCCCTATACTAGTTCAATATCTATTATCTCACCACAGCTTCACACCCTAATTTAATTAATTCACAGATGATTAGATGATACCTGAATGTGTTCGGAGCATTGAAGTATAGTCGGGCCTGTATCCGCCATCAAATTCTCCAAATTTTGACAAAGGAAATCGCCTTAATACTTTAATATAATGTACATAATTCAATATAAGGTGGTTTGAGGTGGTTTAGTTAGTGCATTTGTTTTGAAATACTTTTAGTTGTTAATGGAGTAGTTGTAAAGATTATTTTATGGTTTATTTCACCATAACGTAATTAATATTGCTGCCCCCATTTACTAAGATGTATTGTAAGGTGGTTTTCAGTATTTTTATCAGTGCAAGTATTCTGTAATACTGTTAGTAGTTACTGGAGTAGTGTGAACAACAATATAAACTATCAAATAAACCATTTGGACACCATTTTAGGGTTTTTTGATCGAATGTATCGTAATTAAAATTTCTGCCCCCATTTACTAAGATGTAATGTAAGGTGATTTTCAGTATTTTTATCAGTGCAAGTATTCTGTAATACTGTTAGTAGTTACTGGAGTAGTGTGAACAACAATATAAACTATCAAATAAACCATTTGGAAACCATTTTAGAGTTTTTTTGATCGAATGTATCGTAATTAAAATTTCTGCCCCCATTTACTAAGATGTAATGTAAGGTGGTTTTCAGTATTTTTATCAGTGCAAGTATTCTGTAATACTGTTAGTAGTTACTGGAGTAGTGTGAACAACAATATAAACTATCAAATAAACCATTTGGAAACCATTTTAGGGTTTTTTTGATCGAATGTATCGTAATTAAAATTTCTGCCCCCATTTACTAAGATGTAATGTAAGGTGGTTTTCAGTAGTTTTATCAGTGCAAGTATTCTGTAATACTGTTAGTAGTTACTGGAGTAGTGTGAACAACAGTATAAACTATCAAATAAACCATTTGGAAACCATTTTAGGGTTTTTTGATCGAATGTATCGTAATTAAAATTTCTGCCCCCATTTACTAAGATGTTATGTAAGGTGGTTTTCAGTAGTTTTATCAGTGCAAGTATTCTGTAATACTGTTAGTAGTTACTGGAGTAGTGTGAACAACAATATAAATTATAAAATGAACCATTCGGAAACCATTTTAGGGTTTTTTGATCGAATGTATCGTAATTAAAATTTCTGCCCCCATTTACTAAGATGTAATGTAAGGTGGTTTTCAGTAGTTTTATCAGTGCAAGTATTCTGTAATACTGTTAGTAGTTACTGGAGTAGTGTGAACAACAAGATAAACTATCAAATAAACCATTTGGAAAACATTTTAGGGTTTTTTTGATCGAATGTATCGTAATTAAAATTTCTGCCCCCATTTACTAAGATGCAATGTAAGGTGGTTTTCAGTATATTTATCAGTGCAAGTATTCTGTTTATTAATACTAATATAAACCAAATGGTTTATTTGATACTTTATATTGTTGTTCACACTAGTCCAGTAACTACTAACAGTATAACAGAATACTTGCACTGATAAAACCACTGAAAACCACCTTACATTACATCTTAGTAAATGGGGGCAGAAATTTTAATTACGATACATTCGATCAAAAAACCCTAAAATGGTTTCCGAATGGTTCATTTTATAATTTATATTGTTGTTCACACTACTCCAGTAACTACTAACAGTATTACAGAATACTTGCACTGATAAAACTACTGAAAACCACCTTACATAACATCTTAGTAAATGGGGGCAGAAATTTTAATTACGATACATTCGATCAAAAAACCCTAAAATGGTTTCCAAATGGTTTATTTGATAGTTTATACTGTTGTTCACACTACTCCAGTAACTACTAACAGTATTACAGAATACTTGCACTGATAAAACTACTGAAAACCACCTTACATTACATCTTAGTAAATGGGGGCAGAAATTTTAATTACGATACATTCGATCAAAAAAACCCTAAAATGGTTTCCAAATGGTTTATTTGATAGTTTATATTGTTGTTCACACTACTCCAGTAACTACTAACAGTATTACAGAATAGTTGCACTGATAAAACCACTGAAAACCACCTTACATTACATCTTAGTAAATGGGGGCAGAAATATTAATTACGATACATTCGATCAAAAAAACTCTAAAATGGTTTCCAAATGGTTCATTTTATAGTTTATATTGTTGTTCACACTACTCCAGTAACTACTAAAAGTATTACAGAATAGTTGCACTGATAAAACCACTGAAAACCACCTTACATTACATCTTAGTAAATGGGGGCAGAAATTTTAATTACGATACATTCGATCAAAAAAACCCTAAAATGGTTTCCAAATGGTTTATTTGATAGTTTATATTGTTGTTCACACTACACCAGGAACTACTAACAGTATTACAGAATACTTGCACTGATAAAACTACTGAAAACCACCTTACATTGCATTACATCTTAGTTTATGGTTTCTTGATGGTTTGTCTTGCGGTTCTTATCGTCCTTTCTACTATTCCACTAACAGTATTACAGTATAACAGAATAAATGGTTTCTAGATGGTTTATTTCACGGTTTGTATTGTTGTTTGCACTAACCTGTGGACCTGTGGACTACAGTCATTGGTATGCATAATTCGATTACGTATATCCGACCGAGCAAGAAATCGTATCACCAAGGAAACTTAATTAGATTGGCACGGTCAGATCATGATGGGGGCAGACGATACAACGTGGGGGCAAGAAATGGGGGCATGATACAAATACGATACAAATTCAGCGAAAACATCGCCTCGTTGGTTTAATATCGAGTGTAGAGAGCAAATTCCGAAAATGTGTAGTTTACTTCCAAACTGTACAAGAGTTTTTAGTGTGCGTGGTATTAATTGGAGGATCTCAGCATAATAATCCTTTCTTTCTTAAGACAAGAAAACGATTAAATTTGTTTAAACGTAATTAAATGTTGTACTAAATAAAATACCATGATGATGTAACAATAGCATGCATAAATCCTAATTTCTAATAATTCTACCGTGATACTGCTTCTATCAAATAAAATGAAATGGTCTTATATTTAACAATCAATCAATACAGAACATCTTAAAGAGCATTCCGGTAGTCAACATTGGTATTTGGTCCACCTTCACAGAATGAATTTATCTTAGCAGCTCTAGTCATGTTTATTTTTAACGACGTGTGACTGTATTATATTACGAATTCATTCTGCCACATTTTGTTAGGACCAGATCCAGAGCATTTAATGGGGATATAGGCAGCAGACATTTCAAGATTGTTAAAGATCGTTTCAGGTTTCAAACGTGGCCCTCTTAATTTAATACATAGTGAGCCTGACTACCCATAATTGTGGAATAGCGTTGTCTTGGAACATTATCCAAATGACTGATTAATTGATACCATCAAATGTAATTCCACAACAATAAACTCTAGGATAAAGATAACCTCTCCTTACAGATATCACCAGTAAACTCCCCAACATATTGTAAACAATATTAAAAGCCACGCAAACAATGAGTTGTTTAATAGTCGCAATCTTACACATACATAATAATGATAAAACATGGAAAGTACTCGATGAGACACACGCACATTATAATATAACACACCAAACATTCCTATAAATTTAACGGATAAGATAGATTCAACACAGAACTTGGTTATAATAATCACCTAAAATAATGCAATCATCACACGAAGACTGAGCAATACTCGTATTGCAATGTTCCACCAATGGGACAATGACCATCAATGGGAGCCCCCAGACATTTTACAATAAGATTATAAAATACATGTATATAATAACTTAGGAGTAAGGTTAAATTGATAAAATTGATGAAAGTTAAAAGTTAAAAGAAGTATAAAAGTTAAACTTGATAACAGTAAAAAGTGTTCAAAACACAACACACAGATACCCACTCCCAAAAACTCCCAAATCAGTGCTCACACTTGAAGTAGTCTCGCAGAGGACTGAGCAAGTGTCGCAGGACGGGAACACTCCAGGCTTTGCCGAGTAGTCGCTGTCGCGCGATACGCGACATGTTCGCCACGTCCGTGTAGTGAGACTCCAGACCAAACACTCGCTCCATCTGGGACATTTGGTTGGGTTAGTTGAAATAGTTATTTGTGGTACGGTAAACAAGCTATTAGATTTGCGGGTATGTCAACTGTCCAGTAACTCTTGATGACAACTAACATGACTAAGATGAAAGATGGTCAAAAATCAAATTGATTAATTTTGTACCACCTTCAGAACTTATACTGAAATAACCGGAAATAACCCGGAAGTGAGGTCGCACTGGTACTCACCTCAGTGCACCAGAGCCAGTCTCCCGGTCCCTGACTGTCACTACTTATCATTACCGGCAGTGTTCTCCCTCTCTTCTGCTTCATCGACGTTAACTTTGTTGTTATACAGTTTATCTTCTCGAACCTGAGTGATGAAAACGATGGTAAGTTTACTTCTTTGTAAGGTTGTTGGTCATTATTTGAAATTGAGAGAACCTGGTTTTCAATTATTTAGAAGAGCTGATGTTATATCAGAAATCATAGAATTATCATCTTACTATATATGAAGCGAGACGATATATATATATATGTGTATATATCCGTGCCATTTTACTGACACCACGGCATCAACTTTAACGCGACTTTCCGCAAAAACCGTAAAACATATACAACTGAAACTTTTTTGACTGGGTCAAATGCTTTAATGGCCTTTAAATCAGCATGAAAAAATAAAAAATTGGCCAAGTAATAATAATTTTAGTGCCCAAAATTTGGACTCTCAAGTGGTGTCAAAAACGCGAATTAAATAGGTAATAATTATTTTACAGTGAAAGCAGTATTAATGACATTCTCACTTTTCAGAACTAAGTGCCTAATATAATTAAGATAGAACATCTAAACAGTTTTATTCCTGTTCCATATGATCGAGGATAGTCAGGGCTACAAAACCTGACCAAGTTTAGCTCAATCCAGTACTGCGCGTTCGAGATATGAGGTTAAATATACCAAAAATAGAGGTTTTCTGGTGTGACATCATTGTAAATTATTTGGAGTAAAACCTCAATATCTCACAAACTATACATTTGTGGTCTTTCTGAGTTACACTATCTGTTTCCTCTGGCAATTTCGGTTCAGAGTCAATTAAGTTTCAAACAAAATCTCAGTATATGTGAAAGGACTGAGGATATCAAGTTTGTAAAAGCGCGCGCGCGCGCGCGCGCGCACACACATATAATGACCTCATATCTTCCACATTTAATGATTTTTTATAGAAATTCTTTCACCATCCTGTAGCACTCATGTGCTGAGTAGGATAGCATTCAAATCATGTCTTTAAAAGCTTTAGATAGATACTGAGGGAGAAAATTCATGTTTGTAAAAGCGCGCATATATCACGAATATTTATGTGTGTTGGGTGTATCCTCATTGGTATCAACCATTTCAATCATCTAGAGCAGCTTTCCTGATTCTTTATCTCATGAAAATGGGCAAAAAAGCTCATAAATAGTCCAAAATCGGTCATTTCGCCGCTTTAATAACCTCATTCCTGGCACCCAGAACACTTTAGGTACTCAAAACATGATTTTTCGGATACCTCAGACCCCTAACTAGCACATGGAGCCAGAAAGAACAGCATGTAGGGACTTCTAAATTCCCATGGTTGAGAACCCAATGTCACACTATTCGTTCATTAATCCTGCTTTCACTGCTTAGTCTCTCGAGTCTTGACACCACTTTAGGGTTAGACGGGTTCCTGCTAGTTATTATAATATATGTTCCTAAGACCTTCAATTATCTTATTAAGACTGAATTTTATTTTTTCTTTAGCTTTTTTATTTTTTCTTTATCTTTGTTTAGTGAATAGAATTAAAAGAAACAATTTTGAAACAAAAACAGCATTTTACAGATTAATGGAAAATCATCGAGAAAATTAGGCACAATTGAACAATTAAATAGTTCTGTCAGTATTCTCAGAGTCTCTGCCTCAATTTGGTCGCTGGTTTAACATCTGGTTTGACAATGTTGGATTAATTAAAACAACATTACAGGACGATAACTCTACTCTCCCCAACTGCTCCATGAGGAAGTGTGGTTTTACACTTAATACAATGTCTACATACCTCATGGGCCATGAAGATGTGTACGCGGTTTACAATGTGCAGGTTCTTGATGCTAAGACTAAACTTATCATAATCTATAACAATTTACTTTCATCGTCAGTAAAATATTATGGCTCCGGAGCAGGACTAACAACAAAATTAGCGACCCCGACTCCACCGTTACTGGACCAAAACACAGACGCTGCCATTCTGGCATTCCGACCAATCAGATTATTAACATAGTCCCTAAAATCGCTCATACGCCAATAATACAGCACAGGGTTCAAGGCAGCGTTGATGGAGATACTGAGCACGTGAGTAAACCCCGTCAGATATCTCTTAACATTGGTGTCTGGTATAACTAGAGGAGGAGGCAGGGAGAGACGAGCTGCTTGGACCTGAACGTAAAGGTAGATGGCACAATACGGGATGTTTAGTGTCAGGTATATCAGGGTGAATATGACGATGGTGATGGCTGATCTGACTGCACCATCTGTGTTGGGAGGGGTGCGTACTGAAATGATACTATTTCTCTTCTGTCTGCGTTTAACCACCCTGTTTATATGTTTGTGGATCTTGTAGATGCAGATCCCCGCACTGGTCATGACCAGGGGTAGTAAGACGAGGGTACCAAAGGGTATGGACATGACGATCATGTAGTACTTGGCGTCGTGTACCTTGACAAACTGGGACTTGTTGAGCGCCACAGCGCACCACACAGACTTGTAGTAGTGGGTGACGTTGTAGAGCGCTGGAGTGGTGGCCACCAGGAACACAGCGTACCAGGCTAGCCCCATATTGAGGATCATAGTTTTAAGAGGAGTGAAAGGGAAGGCTATCCTGACTGTCCGGGTGATACTGATAACAGCTACCAGGTACACAGAGTACCTGCTGGATAAGTTCCACAGCGAGCCCCACACCTCCCTAAAACTGTTGTTAGTAAACAAACTGGGGCCCCGACCCTCGCAGTAGCAGAGCGCTACAAACAGGGTCAGAGCGGAGGTGAGTAGGTCTGTGAGGGAGATGGTGCAGAATATTCTGGAGAGAACGTGGGATCTGAGCTGTTTGCTGAAGTAGTGGATAGCGAGGGAGTTGGAGATGATACCGAAGAGGACCAGGAAGAGTAGTGACAGTCCGCCTAGTGTCATTGAGAAGTAGGTATCTGGGCTGCTTGCTCCTGACATACTCTGAAATTATACGTCACGTGTTTATCTTCAAATACTATTCAGACACTTTAAATACGCTAGAGAGAGCAATATATATACAGTTGTATAACTGGAGCTGTAAGAACATAATATGTGATCGTTGAACCACTACTCAACAAAACCACTATTAGTGCCTTTCATTGACAAATGAGATGAAGCCTTACATAATAATATTGTGTAGTCAGGGTTTGAAATGAATAGAGTATAGACCATGTCCGGGTTAACATATAAACATGAAGACAAGTTTGATAACTAACGAGTCAATGACGAATATAGGACTAAATTTAGAACTCTCAACTCAATAATGTTTTGAAGTTTGATCGACGAACAACTACAGAAACGAATATGAGAACGCGCACGTCCACGTGCAATGACTGTTGCAACAACATTATGATCGGTTTTGTTATCATATTACGTTGCGTGGCTCTATGTTCGGTTGGGATGGATGTTTTTTTGACGTGATAAAAACTAGACTAAAAAATAATATTAGCTTCCTCCCTGCGACCACGGGCATTCTAGTATTATAATACTTGATATTGAAAACAGGGCACCTTTCTGACAATTTTCAAAGTATTCATTATATTATTAATAACGCGTCAAGTTTTGAATAGTATTGATTCCTATGATTTCTATTACTATTATATTCGTAACCAACTCAGCATTAGTATGAAAACTATTGTACAACTTATCAATTTCAAGATTGAACAACAACAGTAAGAACATTGCCAACATTAAAATATGTCAAACTATAAACTAGAGTTTGACCACAGACTGAGAGCAAGCAAACCGTTGTAAGCAAACCGTTTTAAGCAAACTGTTCCTGCAAATAAGACGAATGCAATTGGATTTGTATATTATTTAACCTCCCAACTTCCCGCAGTTCGCTATCTTAATGACAAGCTGTCAACCACAATAATATACTAAATAGGGTATTAAATCTCCTTTAGCAGACTTGTCCTTTACAATGTGCATAGATCACAGTCTAACTCCATATTTCACGCAGAATAAACAAGTTATTCTTCACCTTTTACTGGCAAAGTTACTGGGGAAAAAAGCTCTTAGCTCTATCAAAGTCATGGATCAAACCTTAACATGCATCAATATATTTTTTTATGGAACATAAAAATATGATAAAAGGTTTTATTAGCTTTCAAAATACATTTGTCTACCGCCTTCAGCTTTAATTTACTTGTAGTCATTATCATTGGTTGAACCAATGCATTATCAGCCATTTGGCATTTTCTTTCAATAAATATTTCACCAAGGATCGTACCATCAAGAAACATTATAAAACAAGGAAGAATCCTCGTATGTATATCTGTAATCAAACGTCTGGCAAAAGATAATGATTTCAAGGAATGGTGGTTGCACAATAACCGCTCCCTAGCTCTTAGCATCCATTTCAGTGCTCTAGCCCCCAATTACCCAATACAAATGGTTGGTACCTTACTCGGGAATATTATGACTGGGATAAAGTGGTGGGTTTTGGAAAATTCCGCCATATTTTTCCCGGTCATTAATTTTCCCAGTCATAAATTAACCCGCTATAATATTCCCGTGTAAGGTAGTCATATTATTCCTGTAGTAGTCTGTCGTCAGCTGATCTACCACATACCCTTAAATCTGGTCCCTAACTCAGGATAACCAGGTGGCTGTACAATTAGATACACTTTTACATTACAGAAAACTTCCTCGTTCCTTACACACAGAAGTAACACAACCATCACCAAACTATCCCTGGACAGAACGGGGAGCAGATATCAACTGCGAAAAATACAGTACATTCCAACCATTGCGTAATTTTAAGTGGGAGCAACATGGTTGGAACGAAAGATTGCAAGTTTTAAAGATTTAACGGTTACCACAAACTTGCCGCTATTTATCCAACAGTCTGAACACTAATGGTTGGAATTAAATACTTCTTGGGGAGTTCTGGAACATCTTTCAGGAACAGACTTGGTAACTTAAATCGGATTTAGCACAGAAATCACATGCGAACAGAATAAACGGATTCTCGGATTATATAAATAGGCATTACGTGCAGTCTACTCGTGTAACTTAAATAATAGAGCCGGTTTCTCAGAAAGAGTACTGAAGCGGTCACTCGTGTTCTATATTTATATCTAAAAATGTCAAGGACTAAAAGCTTGGTGAACATTTTCATCGTGAAAGTCTAATTGCCCTGATTAAATTCTGTTTTTGAAGAAAAGAAAGAATCGAATCAAGGCACAGCTCTCAGGCAGAATTTAATTTGTAAATTGTAAAAATCGCTGCACCTCATTCATTTAAAAAACTGATCAACGTGATTAGGTGGGCGATATATACATACTATCAAAGTGACAAAGTTCAAACACTCGTAAGAAAATCAGAAACTTTGGTTTACAAGTAATCAAAAATGTTTGGGGAGGGCTAAAAAAGCTAAAAATATTGTTTTTATTAGAGGACAGAGAACACGATGATGATGATCATCATCATAACTCAAGCCGATTTCCATCAAAACCCATCGAAGTCCATCCCATGCCCATTTGACCAAAAATTGGGGGGAAAATGGGCACGGGGTTTCTTCAGAAATCAGCAAGGATGTCTCAGAAATCGTTAGAAATTGATTACAGACAACATGTCAACCAGGGATTGAAGTCGCCATTTAACAGTAACTTTCCAAGCTATTACATAATGTCATGTAACGAGCTTACTAAAACGAAGATTAAGAGCAAATATCACTCCCTCATGTTTAAATAGTCGAATTGACGCGACGCTAATTCATATCGGCTTAACTCCAAAATTTAGGTTACTTGCCAGCGCCACTGGTATCCTCCTCATTTGTCTGTAATAGCTGTCAAAACCAATTTTTACGAACTTGAGCTTGAGAAAACAATAATTCAAAAAATAATTCAATAATTAAAAAATAATAATTCAAAACATAATTCAAAAAATAATTCAAAAAATAATTCAAAAAATAATTATGAGCATATTTTTTTGACAGGTGACCTCATAATCACTGTCACTTAAAGATCTAGATAAGAAGCTTCAGCGAGGAATTAAAGCAGCGGCCCAGCGGGGAAGTAAAGCGAGAGTTTACTCATCAAGAACTCCAGGAAACGGTACTCTTCCGTCCTTGTGAAGGATCGGGCGAGAGAACATATCATATATAATAGAACTTATCTGCACTTTGATGAATAAAATAGGAAAAGGGTCCCGGAAACTTCACTATTCGGTTTCTGATCAAGAAACCCATGTAACATAAAATAAAAGGAGAGAGGCGAGGAGGAGAGAATGAAGTATTAACGTCTACATCTTGTTATCCTCTAGTCCCTAGGGTCAGCTGACTCCGGGCCAGAGGAAAATTACCGACTGCCCAGGTTTGATGCCTAGGTAGTCGAGGCCTCTTATAAGGACTCTATAAGTCCGTTGCAGTCCGTTAGTTTCACTGCATCCTAATTAACAAATATTAAGCGTACGAGGGACAGGTCTTTCTGCTAGTAGTGTAGAAATGATCTGGATCACATCAACCGGCCAATGCAATGCAATGGAGAGTTAAAGTTTTAGGTACTACTCTCTATTTTTGAAAAAACACTTAATCTGATGAACGTTGATATTTTTCCACACTAAGAATAATTAATGATTTTGTGGACTTATGTCCTTGGGAACTAAACTTAAGTCAATCATATGATTAAAAAGAGCATAGTATAGCAATCATCTGCTTCGAATATAATGAATCGGGACGTAACGCAAGGGAGAATTTACGTAACGTGATTTAAATTCAGGTGGTGTTAAAGTCTCTCAGATTGCAATGTAGAATATATTGAGTATTCTTCCGCCTTAGAAAAAAGTCAACTGTGGAAAAACAAGAAAATTAAATTTTCATTACAATAACCCTGGTAAATGTAATTATTGACTACTGATTAATGATTATATATAGTCACTGTTGTGAAATCACAAAGTTAGATAATTGGTCAAATTTTCCAAGTTTTCAATGTCATGCATTTGTGGGTATAATTTTTGAGTAAGCAAAAATCGAGGTCAGAGTAAATCGGCCACGTGGCAAGTACGAACTTGGAAAATGAAGCCATGACAATTGTGACCGCCGTAGATTTTATACCCTAACAAGCGATGTCATGCATCAGTCAGTAATCACACTGTACATTGTTCGAGTCTCGCCCCGAACCATATGTTTATCAGATAACAGTAGAATTACACGCCACAATCTTTTAACAGTTATAGCCTTTTAAAAGTAACAATCTTTTATCCCGCCTCATTTAAATCTTTTATTCTACCAGTTACTGTATTTTATCCTACCAGTTGCTATATTTTATCCTAGCAGTTACAATATTTTATCTTAGCAGTTACTATCTTTTATCTTAGCAGTTACTATCTTTTATCTTAGCAGTTACTATCTTTGATCTTAACAGTTACAAAATTTTATTCCGCCTCATTTAAGTCTTTTATTCTAGCAGTTACTATCTTTTATCCTAGCGCCCAGTTAAAAATTGTAAATACAATCGATTACACTAGCTTTTATAACAGTTTAATTGTTCTGTTTTCGTTATGATTTATCAGCCTTTACTCAGCAATACCGTGTCGTACAACTCACCTTGTGTCATAGGACGATAGGACTTGTTGGCCAGAGAACTCTCGTTGAATAGCAACAAATAAAATAGACTTATTTGATAAAATGGTGGAAAGTGATGAGAACTTAAACGACAAAGTGAACAAAGGATGTAAAACTAGTGAAAAATATGAATAAGGTTATAAAATCTGCAGTTCAAGATGACGTGCGCGGTAAAAATTTAATCATTTATGGGGCACCAGAGACCTTCTTGTCCTATTTAACTTTAAATTTATATATGTATTCAAGGTAGCTACAAGTAGAGCACCCACAAGCTTAGTTTTGGGCATGTCCATGGGATCCGCCTGGATCCGGTGAACTCGAAAGCAAAATTTAAAACCATGTTATTAGACTACAAGCCCTTTTACCAAGTTATATTACAATGAACACAACATCACGCGTTACAATAGTTTCACGATAAAAGTCTCCATTTGCACTGAAAGTGAAATTCAATTCCCAAAATTGACTGAGCCAGTTGTTACCGCCTCAATGTTATTATGAGATACCCTCCAATTATACCAAAACAGCTACCAAAGGAAATTTTAAAAATTGCGTTATCAAAAAGATGTCTACGCTAAAAATTTGATCAAGATTACTATATGTATACATAACAATGGTTTCGGCGGAATTGTATTAGTACCACTACCATACTGTCTACCATAGTGTACCGATTTAGAAATGGCGGGTGAGATCTCAGATAATTACAGTAGAGGGTTTCATCGTATTTGTGACCGTAGAATCGATTAAAAGTGGTCTGGTAATGATACGGTTCATAATTCATAGTAATTTTAGGGTGAGCAGATTCGGTTAGAACGTAATCATAGTTACAAAACAAGAGAACGGTTAGATATCTTGATATTTCTGATGATTAGTTCTCATTTGCATTATTGAACATTAATGTCTCAGTTCATGTTGCAGGTTTTATAATGACCGTACGGCGGGGGGGGGGGCAATGGCACCTTTCTATGAATTTAATTACTATGAACCATGTCCCCGTACTGTTGTTGACAAGGTTTCGAGATATTCCTTGCTTTTGCACCAGCTGTTGGACGGAATTTAATTATATTTCATTCCATTAGCACTTAGCAGAGATATTTAGAGCTTTTATGTTCGTTCATCCGGTGTACAAATAAAAACAAGCAGCCGTGGTGCTGTTCGAATGGATTGGTTAGGAGAATTAATGAGGTTTGGCAATCCTCAAGAAATGGAGCCACAACAGGACCCTTTGGGTAGAATATCAAAAGTGTCAGGTTTTTGGTTGGTCTCTTTATTTTTAAGCTCCCTAAACTGCTCTTTATTAAAACCCAAAAATTGCGAAGTGGTCAGACCTTGGATCACGAGCGAGTAGAAACGAGAGGACCATGGTCAATGGTGTAACAATGCCAAACGGTCGTTTCGCTAGATCCCACCACACAATACGATATTAGCTTGGGATACTATATTGGATTAGGTCTTTATATTAGGTATAGAAATTAATAGCAAAAAACTCGAACGTAATGCTAATGTGGTATGTTAATCGAGGGACCTCGTACAATTATTGCTTGGAGTCACTCCAAGCAATATCTGTATGAGTAGTGTTGTTACCAAACAAAAACAAAAACCAATGCCAATGTCATGATTTTGATTTGACCATTGTTTTTTGTTGTGGTTATTCTTCTTAAAGTGTTTTTTCCTTGGGCACTCACCAATGCGAGAAGATTCTAGACTTGATTCTAAAAATACGCTTTTAACAATTAAAAACAAAATAAGTTCTTTCAAATTGGTGGTAAGATCCGTAAATTGCAGACAAGTACGAAACAATAAGAACCAGAACAAGAACAAATTGTATGGACAAGAAAGAATGCAGTTGGTAAAAAGAGCCGAGATAGTCAGATGACTTTATAGATAAGTTAAAGAGCTATCTAGCTTATAGGTTCTTCTCAGTCGACTTATCGCACAGCTTTGCGACCTAGAATGGATAAAAGCGCTAGACACTTAAGAGTTAAGAAGGCGAAGGGTTGCTTTGATCTAAAGTTGCATTGATCGTTCTATCTAAAAACTGACAATAAGCTTGTCTTAAAACGATAAATATATTACAAGATCACGTTTCAAGTTCCAGTCTCCAGAGAGTAACCATAATTTTAATCATGCTTTAGAAACAAGATAAATATAATACTTATTCTCGAAATGCTCAGTGCTTACAAGCACAGCAAGAACAACATGCAAGAACAACCAAACTCGGTCGATCAATCACATTAAAAGCCATGAAGCCATGAAAATACTAAAAACACTTTTATAAGGTTTTTGATTAAATTGAGATAAGTGTGCGCCTACTTAATTTTAACAGCATCATAATAATCCAGAAATATTTCCGGTAACCTATGTACTCGTTAATGTGATAATATGATTTAATTCTGAATGATGATATAGCGACATTTTGACTGACGCCTGTCTGAAGACGAAGAATCTCTAGTAGGAAAAAATATGGGATGAACAAAGATCAAACTATACGTCCACATTTGCAGGTAATGTTGAAGGTAATAACCCTAGTAATGAGGAAAACTAGTGACTAAGGCCAAGGATCACTTCTTTCTCTATTTAACTCGAGAAAAATGTCATGGAAAGAGATATAAATATATAATGAGATTTACTGACCTGCAATTTAGTGGTGCTGTCACTATTCCCACTATAAAGTGCACATAAGTCAGATCTAAACTGTCACTAAATAGTGCTGTCACTTAAATACAGTATAGTTACTACCATCCCACTTTATAGATTCTACAAGTTTACCAACTAATTTCATTATTTCTTTGAGGGTGAAATAAAGCTAATTAAGACGTTCTATTCGTGACGCACAGAAATACTGCGTCTCAAAAAATCAGACTTCTTCTGCCTGTCAAAATTAGAAACCAAAAAATCAACAATTTTGTTCAAGTATTCCCTATTTTGTTGATGTTCCCGGCTTAAAATTAGCTTTTAGCAGCTGTTGAGGACAATTAATGGTATTTAACGTCGAAAGATAAACTCCAAGATTATCCGATAGAAAAACTTCTCGTTAATTTTTGGAATGGACGTTTTGAAACTTTTGAGGTTCAATCAAATGAAAAAAACTTAACGCAAAACTACATGAAATTGGCAAATTTTGAGAGAGACGAGATTAGGTGACCAAAAGGGTATCACAAAACACCAAGCAAGAGCTTATGAGGGTCCTGGAGTCAGAGCAATGAGTTATGACAAATAGTGATGTTAGTACAGTGTGCTAGAACCAAGACATACATCAAAGGAAGTATTTGCGGCTAAATCACTATAGTTCTCGACTAAACCACTATAATACTCGACAAAGGAACTGAGAAATTATAAGTTCATAATATATCGTGATAGTTAATAGTCGGATCACAAGCAGCCCTCGAACTTAATATCTAATTTAGTGGTCAGACAGTATGGAAAATGATTTTAAGAAGTTCTTATATTATTACCATCTAGCAGGTACAAATCAGTTCAGTCCCGCAAATAACAAAGGGGGGTCCGGCGACAAACGACCATCGTTTGTAATGGTCGTTTCCATGGAAAACTGGTGGTAAATGGTCGTTAATGCCCAGTGACATAAAGTGAGGAATCTAAGAATCTAATTCCTAGCCATATTAATTTCCATAGCCACGCCGACTAATTTTTGTCAACAAAATTATTAAATCAACTTTAAAATAGTCGCTCTCGGTTGTTACACACTGTAACGCCGCGCACTGTACTTTAATTCTATATTTATCCGAGAAGATGTTCGAATCGAGCGCAAATGCCAGATTCCTGTCAGGATCCTAGTTCTTGCGCTTAACTTGCGCGTTACCAAATAATCCAAGATATTTCTGTCAGGATCCAAGATTTTCCTACTACCAGTATGGTAGTATGGACTGTTTGGTAGTATGGTAGTATGGTAGTTGCAGGAACGCGCGAAGACCTATATGTAAATATTACAAAAGCGTACATGAAATCGTAGCCTAGTTGGATAATCCGTCGTTACTACATTAGCAGATCGGGAGTTCGAGACCCGGAAAGGAATTCTTTCACAATCTTTTGGCAATTATGAATAACTATACTAATGAATTAATAACTATACTAATGAATAACTAAACCTCTGTAATATAACTAGCAAAGTAAAATGAAATCGTTATCCGGCCGCGGAGCGGCCGAAAAATTTATGGTAGTCGTTTTAAAAATATATGGTAGCCGTTTTTTCTTTCCAGACTGGATTCCTAGTCCCTTTTTAAATTTATGTCACTGGGCGTTAATGGTCAATATTTTAGGCTTTTAACAAATTTTCTTCTCGTCCCTAGCACAATTTAGTAAATTCACCTCGCAAATTTTGTCTTGTAGAAAAGGGTATTGTATATAATTTACGGGAGGCTCAATGTGCTCGTAGCGAAAATTAGAAAACGTGCACATCACTGATCACGCAATCTGAAAAATAATTTTTGGGAAATTCATTTAAAGTAACAGATCCCAAGTTATAGGTTTACTTATTTATAACCAATCCTGAAATAATAAATGCGTCGAACTCGATTCTGCTCTGTTTAAAGCTATCTATTAAGCAAGTCTAAACGACGTTCAAATACAAACGAACCACCCACCCCACCCCACCCCAGCCACCCCCAACACTCCCCCTCTCCCCCAGACCGTAGTGGTTGACAGTTACGGTTAAAGTGAGTCTTCAAGGAAGAGCTGGAACCTTCACACCCAACACTCCAAAACTGTATTACGTAATATATTCTGGCGGTATTATGCTCCATAAAATCAGCAAAAATATATATAAATATGGATCAAGTCTATGCGCTTTAGCGTGACAACTTGAAGAGCTTAAATGTCGTAAATTTAATAACGGAAGCGAAATTGCTTTTTTGGTCAGTTGAGATCGAATATAAACTCTACCACTACCACTACCACTACCATCATGTCAAATGAGAGGTGGTAATTTTGCTTGATTTTCGTATTAAACGATCAACTGGTTTTTTAGTTTTTAATGAGGAAATTCGTTAGTACATATCGGGGATTAAACTATTTTGAACAACAATTGTCAATTGAATACCTGGTTAGGTTTTTTAGTCCGGCCTATGGGCTGAAATTTTTAAATTCCCAGTCTCAGGGACTACGTCGTGAATTCTAGTTGACACTCACCTAGCTATTCTGCCGCAGTTCATCTCGAGGCAATCTTGTAAAGTAAGTTTGTCCGCCTCCAGAGGGTAGATAGGACGAGACATTCCAGGAAGATTACCCCAGAAATACCTGGCTCTAAAAGAAATGTCACTAAGTTAGCTTATTAGGACGGAATTGTAAAACAATTACATATAAAACTTACAATAATTGTAAATAGTTAAGCGGAGTGTTCTAACTTAATGTTAAACAATAGTGATCTCTCACTTTGCCATACCTACCTCCCTTCATTTTATATTTCTAATTGTATTTTTTAAATCAAATTTTCAGATTGCAATATTCTGGTCAGTGGTATAATCCGATTTACCACGGACTTACAGCGCCTTTAACATTTCCCAAACCTCTTTTATTTCTGTACTGGTCCCGGGATTATCAAACCATGTAATATATATTATGTTACACATCGTTGGTTATTGTATTGTACAATATAATAACCAACAATGTGTAACATAAACATTAAACACAATGTTTAGATAATTTCAATAATCAGAGTGTGAAAGGAACTACACTACTATTACACACATACTACTGCACATATACTACATACTACACACATAATACTACACACATACTACTACACACATACTACTACACACATACTACTACACAAATACTACTACACACATACTACTGCACACATACTACTGCACATATACTACATACTACACACATACTACTACACACATACTACTACACACATACTACTACACACATACTACTACACACATACTACTACACACATACTACTACACACATACTACTACACACATACTACTACACACATACTACTACACACATACTACTACACACACAATATACAACTATACACAGAACGCACCTTACTAATTAATATTATTTAGATCTCTGTCGTGTGAATTATCATTTTATTCATTATTTAGAAATTAGTCAAAATTTTATGACTCTCTGCTTGGCTTCATAACTTGACAGAATTAATAAATTATCACTGACAGTGACTTACACTAAAAAACGATTATGTTCGAAATCATTTAAAATTTTGTAAAATCTCGACTGACTGACAATGTTTCTTCTTTTTCCCCATTTAGAATACAAAGATTAGTACATTTTAGCTTATGATTAATATTATATTTTTACCTATAGTTTACTTAGATTGTAATTATGTAAGGCATATAAAGAAAACATATTATCCTATTATTTCAGACATATTGAGGATAATGATCTTTGACATTAATGCTTCGCTCGATACCATGAGGTTATTCATAAAATCGCATATAAAATAGTGAGAGAAATTCTGAAATAAAATGATGAGAGTTGTAGAATTGATTGGGAGCCTTCACCTTCATGGCATTTGCTCTACAAGTCTAACTTAAGTATTGTGGCAAGAACAAAAGATATACAGCCACGAAATCCTCAAATATGGTCTAAATTAAATCATATTCAGCGAAGAGAAAGTTTTTTGAAAATTAGACTCGCTTCAATGCAGTTCGGAGGTGCTAAATCTTGAAGTAACGCTAGAAACAATAGACGTGCACCATCTGCCTCAGTAACCCTGACCCTGTGATGTCAGTATAAATACCCCCTCCATCTTAACTACTTCATCACTACGACAAATCATCTCAACATGAAGGTTCTTATTTTCCTGACTCTAGCTGGCCTCGCTGCTGCAATCGACTACGAGCACGTGCTCCAGTCTCCTGGAGAACTCAAGGACCTGTTCAATGAGTTCAATCTTAAGTTTGCCAAGGCTTTCTCTCCCTCTGAAGGACCCATGAGAATGAGGCTGTTCAGGAACGATCTGAAGCAGATCGTCAGGCTCAACAAGGAACACGAGTGGGTCTCAGGAATCAACCAGTTCACAGCCATGACAGTTGCTGAGAAACAACAACACCTCGGACTGAACATCTCCTTCTCTGCCCCCGCCCCTGAAGAGGAACTTGTCCTGTCCTCTCTCCCCGCTGCCACCGCCAAAGACTGGAGAAAGGAAGGAAAGGTTGCAGCTGTTAAGAACCAGGGTGGTTGTGGATCTTGCTGGGCTTTCTCTGCTGTCGGAGCTGTTGAGACCAACTATGCTATCCAGACCGGAAAAAGGAAGCAGTTTGCTGAGCAGGAGTACCTCGACTGTACTTACAGCAGCAGCAGAGACGGATGCAAGGGAGGATGGTACTTCGAGGCTTGGTCCTACTCCGCTAAGGCCGGACGTCTTGCAACTCTGGCTGCTGCACCCTACAAGGCTAAAGACGGATCTTGCTCTTACGACAGAGTTCACAACGGATTCATTGCTGCCAAAATCACTGGATCCAAAAGGGTCTCCAGAGGAGAGGGAAGCATGATCCATGCTCTGAACTCTGGTGCTGTGTCTGTCGCTTACGAGGTCACTGACGAATTCTTCAAGTACCAAGAGGGAATCATCCGTGATAACACTTGCAAAAGTTATGCTAACCATGCTGTCACAGCCGTAGGGTACACCCACTCTGCAATGATCGTAAAGAACTCATGGGGAGCCTGGGGAATGAAAGGATATTTCTACACCGCCAGAGGACATCACGGTTGTGAGATCTACAACCACGGAAATGTGCCTACCTGGAAATCAACTGGAAAGTCAGACACTGATGCTGATTACGTCCCTGTTGAAGATGAAGACTGCAAGGGAACTAACGCTGATGGCTGTCCCTGTGGAACAGTGAGGTGCAGCAATGGATCCTGCAAACACGCTCACATGTGCCACTAAAGAATCTGCCAGAAGAAGTCAAGATTCTCATCTTTTAAATTCTCATTATTCAATGTTTAAATTTAAAATAAAAACTGTTTCTTATCTTGAATCTTTAAAAACCAAAAATTTCAAAAAAGGAAAAAAATCTTCAAATTCAATCTATGCTGAATCGCGGCTTGAGAAGTTAAGCACCACCCTAAAGAATGTTGAAAAAAGGTTGCTTCATAATTTGTATATAAATTATAATTATGACCATTCCAAACATTGTGCACATGATATTCGGAAGCTTCTGTGACTTTTCTAGCCAAATTTTTATCTAACACTTATTTTACTTCGGAAATTCCAACAGCCACATTGTTACACAAGTGTAACCAGCCAAAATCCCAAAAAAAGGAAAAGAATATGTATAATAATTTGGACATGAACCGAGTTTGCAGTTTGACCAGTAGCCATGCTAGGGACTACGCCGTGAATCCTGACCGACACCAAGACACTCACCTAGCTACTCTGCCGCAATTCATCTTGAGGCAATCTCCAGAAAGAAGATAAGGAGAGACATTTTTAGTTGTTGACGAAGTTGGTAGCATCTGAGGTTTTTCTTGATTCTCATATAAATAATGACATCATTTTTTAATCAAAAACGATAGTTTACAACGATAATAACTAATTATGTCTTTATCAAATAAAACTTCTATTCTGCTCCGTTGTCAACCAAACCTCTCTCGAGTCAAAGATATGACATTGTGCAAGAACTCAACTTGACAAGATCAGTAATGTTTCCATCATGTAACACGTTAGCTAGGATCATAGACCGGTCAGAGACTGATCACATACTGCAGTCTGTCTGCATATAGTCTGACCGCTGCAGATATCCCTGCTATATACCGCCGTTTGATAGATACTTGTACAATGAACACTAATTCGAGTGTAGGAATGTGATGTTTATAGCCCCTGGAACAAAGAGTCGTAAAGTAGATCTGATGGTCACAACTAGCTAGAGCATATTTTATCCAGGCGCCCTAAGAACAAACTTTGTTTGTTTCTGTCATTCAGCAACTCAGCAGGGTGCAAAATGACTGCAATGGTCATAATATTATGGCAGGTGAATGAAAGTGCTCAGACCATCATGAATCGGCATATTTTAATTTTTTTTGAAACAATTGACAATCGTTGATATTTTTGGTCAATTTTCCTGACTTTGAGGTTATAAATTTTAATGGCTGGGTGGCTCAGTTGGTAAATCTTCCTGCTTGTTTATCGAGAGGTACCAGGTTCGATTCCCAGCTGAGCTACCAGCCATGGGGTGAGCGTCGTTGACGCTCAGCTAAGGATTCTGAGTGATCTATGCAGCCCCCCGGTCCACTCAGCCAAGTACTCGAGAAATCAGGTGTGAGGGTTAAATGAGGAGCTGCTCATTGCAGTAAAGTCTCGGGCGAAGAAAGTATGATACATACTACCTTAACTGTCACTGGCCTAATGTATAATTGAATCCTTCGGCTTACTGTAATTGGCTGGTTACACTTGTGTAACAATGTGGCTGTTGGAATGTCCGAAGTAAAATAAGTGTTAGATAAAAATTAGGCTAGAAAAGTCACAGAAGCTTCCGAATATGTGCACAATGTTTGGAATGGTCATAATTATAATTTATATACAAATTATAAAGCAACCTTTTTTCAAATTTCTTTAGGGTGGTGCTTAACTTCTCAAGCCGCGATTCAGCAAAGATTGAATTTGGAGATTTTTTTCCTTTTTTGGAATTTTTGGTTTTCAAAGATTCAAGATAAGAAACAGTTTTTATTTTAAATTTAACCATTGAATAATGAGAACCAATCACAATTCATTGCATAAATCTTGACTTCTTCTGGCAGATTCTTTAGTGGCACATGTGAGCGTGTTTGCAGGATCCATTGCTGCACCTCACTGTTCCACAGGGACAGCCATCAGCGTTAGTTCCCTTGCAGTCTTCATCTTCAACAGGGACGTAATCAGCATCAGTGTCTGACTTTCCAGTTGATTTCCAGGTAGGCACATTTCCGTGGTTGTAGATCTCACAACCGTGATGTCCTCTGGCGGTGTAGAAATATCCTTTCATTCCCCAGGCTCCCCATGAGTTCTTTACGATCATTGCAGAGTGGGTGTACCCTACGGCTGTGACAGCATGGTTAGCATAACTTTTGCAAGTGTTATCACGGATGATCCCCTCTTGGTACTTGAAGAATTCGTCAGTGACCTCGTAAGCGACAGACACAGCACCAGAGTTCATAGCATGGATCATGCTTCCCTCTCCTCTGGAGACCCTTTTGGATCCAGTGATTTTGGCAGCAATGAATCCGTTGTGAACTCTGTCGTAAGAGCAAGATCCGTCTTTAGCCTTGTAGGGTGCAGCAGCCAGAGTTGCAAGACGTCCGGCCTTAGCGGAGTAGGACCAAGCCTCGAAGTACCATCCTCCCTTGCATCCGTCTCTGCTGCTGCTGTAAGTACAGTCGAGGTACTCCTGCTCAGCAAACTGCTTCCTTTTTCCGGTCTGGATAGCAGCATCACTTTCACTTTAGTATTTTGTTCTCTGTTTAACATGCTCTAGCATGTACTGGCATTATTTGAACGCCAGTTCTTGTATGTGTACATTTCTATATTATTAGTATTACCTTTTGTTATTTTGTGTGCCTTTTTGGAATCTGTATTAGAAAATGTTGAGCGTCTGGGCTGGTGTGTACTATGATTACATTGCTTTGAATTTGTATATTGAATTATATTGTATTTCAGTGCTATGTAACCAGGCGGCAAATTTGAAATGGGTTATGATGGGGTCCGTAGTCCCCACACATAGTATAATGTCCTTGTTTTACTGACTACTTCAATGAAGAACGTACATAGTTGGTCTCAACAGCTCCGACAGCAGAGAAAGCCCAGCAAGATCCACAACCACCCTGGTTCTTAACAGCTGCAACCTTTCCTTCCTTTCTCCAGTCTTTGGCGGTGGCAGCGGGGAGAGAGGACAGGACAAGTTCCTCTTCAGGGGCGGGGGCAGAGAAGGAGATGTTCAGTCCGAGGTGTTGTTGTTTCTCAGCAACTATCATGGCTGTGAACTGGTTGATTCCTGAGACCCACTCGTGTTCCTTGTTGAGCCTGACGATCTGCTTCAGATCGTTCCTGAACAGCCTCATTCTCATGGGTCCTTCAGAGGGAGAGAAAGCCTTGGCAAACTTAAGATTGAACTCATTGAACAGGTTCTTGAGTTCTCCAGGAGACTGGAGCACGTGCTCGTAGTCGATTGCGGTAGCGAGGCCAGCTAGAGTCAGGAAAATAAGAACCTTCATGTTGAGATGATTTGTCGTAGTGATGAAGTAGTTAAGATGGAGGGGGTATTTATACTGACATCACAGGGTCAGGGTTACTGAGGCAGATGGTACACGTCTATTTTTTTAGCGTTACTTCAAGATTTAGCACCTCCGAACTGCATTAAAGCGAGTCTAATTTTCAAAAAACTTTCTCTTCGCTGAATATGATTTAATTTAGACCATATTTGAGGATTCCATAGCTGGATATCTTTTGTTCTTGCCACAATATTTTAGCTTAACTTGTCGAGCAAATGCCATGAAGGCAAAGGCTCCTATTTAATTCTACAGCTCTCATAATTTTATTTCAGAATTTCTCTCACTATTTTATATGCAATTTAATGAATAGCCTTATCATATGGTATCAGGCCAAGCTTTAAAGTCAAAGATCATTATCATCAATAATTCTGTAAAATAAGATACAATTTTTTGAGTTGATCCTCGGACCAAATTAACGAGAGAGGACACAGCTTAGTAGAGAGAGGAATGGAAATGAGTAGAATCATTATGTTACCCCAGATTTTCAACCGTAAGTTGGCCGCTATTCATCATAGGCTGGAGTCTAACTGCCTATCCTCGCTTTTAGGTTTTCGGAGATTCAACAATTGGCATCCGGAGTAATTAGGTTAGAAGAAACAGCTTAAAGTCGGTGACAGGCCAGGCTTAGATGTCACAGATCATCATCATTTAGTCTCAATTAACTGAGTAATATTAGTATCTGTAGGTCCTAGAAGCTATAAATTTGAAAGGTCACTAAATTAGAATGACACCATAAACGCTTTATTTTAGCTTTAACCTTTCTCCAACCGGATATTATCCAGCTATCAGTATTTACATAAGCATAACAAGTTAAAACAATTCTGGACATAACCGCCCCAGCTAGAGTCCTAGACAGCACGCGTCACGTAATTGATTACGAAATGGGGCGAATGTATTCCATTTATTGGCATTGATAGTAATACCTGCTCATACAGGAGAGATGTTTAGCGTTGATAACAGCGGGTGTACACTGTAGAAACCGGGAAATACAACTCTTATCTTGTCGTGACATGGACACCACATTCTCAAACATCCAGAACAAAGGTCTCTCTCCTGCTGTCTCCTTCACGTAGCTATGAGGGGCGGTCCGTTACAAGAGAGACATTGATTGTTCACAGCATGATCATCGTTTTAGTTTGACAAAGAAACCGCTCACCCAAGAGTTAATTAATTAAAATTAAGTACAATTTCACCCCACCTGAGGATTCTGTAGAACTCGAAGAAGAGTTTGCCGGTTCCCTGGTAGATTCCCTTTCTAGCTGGGTTGACATTAGAGAGGTCGTTACAGGGACTCCCGCCCATCACCAGATCAAATGGTCCTAGCTCCGATATCTGATAATATCTTTGTTTTACTTAAAATCATCATTACATGTTATTCTATTTTATTTCAATTGGAGTGGCTGCGTAGGTATTACCATGGTCCACGGGTAATCATAAGTTAACAAGGTGATTCTCTTTATGATATCACAACTAAATGAAAACACGGATGAATCAAGGAGTAAGGTGTGGGTTTAAGAAGATAACAAAATCACGCCATTATATTTGGCCGGTATCCCCCAACAGTGTATGTGGGACGTGGGTGATAACATTATAACAAGTACCCGTTGAGGGGTGAGGGAGGTGATGTCTCCGATCTGAACCACTTCAGGGTGGTGGAGCCGTGATACCTTTAGAGCGTCGTCGTCTATCTCACTGCTCATATACGACTCTATCTGTGAGAGGGTCAACAGATGAACATTCTTACAACATCATCTCGGGGTTTAATCTTGAAATAGTCAGGTTAAAGTACGTTAGAAAATATTAGTACTTCGAGAAATATGTGATGTTAATATGAGTTAATGTAGCCCGTATCTACTAATTGAGTGTTAAAAATGTTACTGATGAAACGTCTTGATTAAATTCTGACCTGAAATCCAATGTTTTTCAGGCAGACAAGTCCAGTAGAAATACCATCAAACAAGCTGAGTACACGTAACCGTGGTCGCTGTGAGATGGGGAGTATGGGGGGAGGGTCCGGAGTAGCGTACTCTTCCTCTCCTGCTACTCGCCGGGTCAACAATCCTTGTAATCTCTCCTGGTATTATTGTTTAATGTACATATTTTCTTTAAATGTTTTCCATATTTTATGTTATGGATCATTAAAATAAAAAACTAACAAACCATTACGACCATTCTAAGCAGAAAAACAGTCTACAGACCACGACTATACAGTATACACTATTTAAGCTATAAATGTTAAGTAACTATGGCAACATAACACAAGCCATCCTCGTATAAGATGTAACAGTTCAAAAAGGTCCCCTAACAAGGGCCCTAAATCTGTTTTTACCAGGGCCTTACTAATTCTCCCTTCTTAGTTATATATTAGAATATGTGTTTTTGGCGGGTTTTACTAAAGGACACACACACATACCAACTCTTAGAAAGGAGACAGGTCGAACTTGTTCCGTACTGAAATTTGACCTTACACTCTGAACTTTGGTTGAGTCACGTATATATATCATAGACATGTAATATATCATGAGTCGTTGTGGGTATTGTTATACAGCACTACAATTATACACGAAGCCTTACAGCAGCCTATTCTCCAAACTGCAAAGTCAATGCTCCAAAAAGCCCTCTCCTTTTACACCCCCAAACAATTACAGCTTCACACTAATCACCACAACAATTACACACTAATTACCCACTAATTACCCATTATAATGATACATATCCCAGTAAGGTTACCTGCCAATCCGGTCGTTTCACCAGGTTCCCCTCCTTCCCAGCGGGGTTACACAGCACACATAACCACGGATCAGATTTCTCCACCATTTCCAGAGAGTGGGGCCCACATACCCGGGTTATACAGGCGTGACAGTAGGGGCGACCACACTGGGACTCGTCACATATAAACAAACTTCCTCCTTCGTTACATACAGAGCAGTAGGACCCTGTGGAGTGTGGGTGTTATATAAGTTATGTACTATCAAAACTACGTATAGTACATAGTACAGCACACAATACAGCATACAGTACAGCACACAGTGCAGCACACAGTACAGCACACAGTACAGCACACATTACAACACACAGTACAGCACACAGTACAGCACACAGTGCAGCACACAGTACAGCACATAGTATAGCACACAGTACAGCACACAGTACAACACACAGTACAGCAAAAAAGTACAGCAAAAAAGTACAGCACACAGTACATCACACAGTACAGTACACAGTACACATTTATTGATATGGGAAAGTGATATCATCATCATATTACAGTCTTTAGCCTTCAAAGAGAGGAATTAATGATGTTTTAAGGCACATTACACATTACAAAGCACATCAGACGTGTGGATGTGGTTATTATTATCCACAATCATCACTCTATTGCTGATCTCCTGATTACTTTGAGCTCAGTAAATAAACATCGCAATGTTTTAGTAAGCATGTAATCAGGATAGTCCACGCTGATATCCGTTCTTTAATATTAATACCGTAAAATATATCGGCCTTCAACCTTCTGGTGAGCTCACACTAACTTACCACTTCTTAAACTAGTGCAGTGTGAAACAAGAATTGCGCCCGTTTGTTCGGCTGTCGGCGGACGCTAGATTTCCATCCACTTGCACCAACTTAAAACTCTTCAAATTTCATTATATAATACATTGGCCTTCAATTAATTTTCCTTCCTTGTGTCACGTGAATTGGCTTAATTGACTAGCTGAATTGTGAATAGTTACATTAAACCAAAATAAAAGTTGATCGTTGTACCTGAACCTCAGGTCAGACAATGCAATTAGAGTGGGCCGGACCAGCTTAATGTAATTGTTAATTAGCTCAAGTTTGGAGGTGCCGCGAGTTTAGTTGTCTGTGGATGCTAAAGGAATATAATTGATAATAGTTGTGCATCGAGGAAAATTAATGTTGTTCAGACACAGTGCGCGCGTTAAGGTAATTTAATTAATTTTACTGATAAGCCGCGCGACTGTACTCTGAAATATTGCGTGTAGATTTAATTTGAATGTTCCTCCGCAAACGTTAAGATCAAAGTTGCCATAACAACGCGCAACTCTGTGGCAGAGAAAAATGATACACGATATAATCTAGGTTCCGGTGAAATAGTTAAGGAAGAGAACATATTATTAAATATTATCATGTTGTGCATAAAACTGGTCCCTCTGTTCCACTTTCTAATTAGTGGTTATACAAGATTAAATGATGTGTTTTAGTCATACTTCAATGATACCAATTATTGGAATTCAAGTCTCAATGTCCAGTATGTTAATTAGTTCAGTAAGATGAAGTGTTCATTCCATTGTCTCGCTAGGTTAGTGTAAAGTAGTAGATTTGGAGATCTGTGAATTAGGAAGTAATATCACTCAATCAGCAGCCGATGGTGTGCGTTACGTTTTGACAAAATTGTGTTCACAGCTGCTCTGAAATCAGTGAATTATTCAATTAGTTTTTCATGCGTTTGCATGATTATAACACTAATATAGGTTGAAATAAGGTATATTATATAACTTCGGAATCATAGGGTGACAGAGAAAAATGGAGAATTTTTCCAATATAATTAAATATGAACACTAATAGAACGATAATGTTTAATTTACGAACCATTTCATGGATTGTGATATGATAGAGTCAACTGTCAAGGAGGGCTGATCCGGAGACGGCATTTTTATCTATAAGCGAGCCTATGGCATGAAAGGAACTGTTGACAGTTGTGAAACTGAATGTGAAGACTGGAAAACAGCAAGCAACTGATCTGAAAGGAAATAAGTTGTAATTGTCCCGTGCGTAATATTACATCTACATTATATGAATATTAAATCAAAAGTGGTGAAGCAATCTTGAATGAAAGCGTGAGAAAACTTAATGTGCATAATAATTGTATTATTATATTAAAAAAGTATAGAAACACCTTCCCTTTTATGTAGATGTGGAGAATGAGGTGAGGTAATTAGCCTGAGAACAGTTGATAGTGAGGTACAATAACCACACGCAGTTAACCACTCTTCCCAGTTTCCGTTAGCACGTGACAATCCCACGGGTAAATTGCTCGGACGAACCTCTTTGCTAACATATGATAATGCATCCAATCTTATCTGATAACTGAGATATTACAGGGGTTTAAAGATATATTATGAGATAATAACATGACATTTATGACATATTGAAAATTATAAAGTAACAAAAGTATATCGATTAAATAGCTGCAGTAAAACAAATGTAAAGTTAGAGTGCAAGTTAAATGGAAAATGTAGTATGTGCATGTCATTTATTGCTAATGTGATAATAGAAATTGGTTAATTATGGAGAGCATAAATTAACGTAGATATAATTATATAAGATAATGTTGATTGAATTGTAGAATAGTAGTAATATGTAATGTTATAATTGTTGTTATAGCTTCTGTCTTAAACTTCAGTGTCCTGTTGTACGTCTAACTTCCTGAAAAACGAATAATGTTAGGAGGAACTATGTTGAAAGGAACATTAATATGTACTAAATTTATTGGCATTTAAACCGTAACGGTGAATAGGTAATTGAAACTAATTAGTATTATCAATGTAAAGCATTATTATAGGCGACAAAAAAGATTATTGGTTTAAAAACGCGACTGTATTACCTGTGTAATCAGAACCTCGAGTGTAAGAATGTAAGGCTGACTACACTGTTCACACCGCAAGAAGTCACGTTACAACAGCACTGGTATGGTGTTGTGAAAGTTCTAGGATAGGTATGGGGTGAGTGGTGTTCGTGATTGTTATAAATTGCAAGTGAATGAGAGCTAGAGTGTAAGATTATTTATAAGTGCAAGGGCTAACATTCACAATGCCGAGGATGAAATTACAATTCATGAGATGGGGAGTGCGCAGAGCCAATTTCTAAAATAACAGTATACCAATGAACGCCATGACCATCGTCTGTATTAACTATAAATAAGGTTGGGGGAAGGACCTGTGCGTTAGACTTAAACTTATCCCAAAGGTGTATGATGCGGGCTTTGAACGTAGACTTACTATGGGGAGGTTCTACATTGGAAAGATAATCATTTCTATGTATAAATAATAAATTGTGAAAATGTAGCGAGTAAATAGGAATAAGATCAAGGCAATTAGTTTCTGAAAGGAATACGGGACTTGTGCCGGAAATGTTAAGAGCATGATTACCTAGTGCACATATGTCTGTCTCAAAATCCGAGGCTCCCCAATAGTTACAGTCGAATAGTGATGCGTTAAACCATGACTGGCCTGTCGAAAGGAAGGACTTCAGTTTAGAAATGACTCTAGAGGCGATGTAACCACAACTGGAATTAACCTGGATATTAGCAAAGGAGGCATTGACTGAGAATCCCAAAGATTGTAATAAAGTTGCAGTTTCTGCCGATTGAGGATGACCCAAAAAATCAATGACATGTGCCCTGCCAACAGTTTCAGAGATAACTTGTGGATAACTGGTAGGAACTTGCATAACCGGATTGTTGACCACATCTGCATTGTATAAAGGAGAAAGAGACTTTGTCGTTTTGAGATGTTTACTTAGAAGTGGACTTGCTGGAACTTGAGGAGAGTTTGGTAAAGGACGTTTGAGACCAGTAGTAGGCTGTGGAGACATCATAGAGAGCGGAGAATATAATGAGGTAGCCTTGAAATGTTTCTTCGTAAGATCCGCTAATGGAGAAAAAGGTATGTGGCGTTTTAATACAGGAGGCGAGTTGATGATGGTGTTGTGGGGAGAAGATGACACATTACATGGTTTACTGCAGGGAAGAGTGATGGGATCAGATGGTATGGGGACTCATTATTAAAACTTCTTCACAAGTAGCTGCAGGAACATTATTACCTTGGAGGAGAACACAAAATTTAGGAACATCACGTAGTCGAGCATACTCATCTACAACTTTCTTAGATGTGCGAATTTGCCTGGGGTCAAAAGATATGAAGTGCAGACCAAGGAGAGATGTTAACCTAGAGATAGCAGTGTATGCCATGCCTGACTGCCATGAGTGACCTTTTGATGCTCCAGCGAGGAATACATATGCTTTGTTCAAAGTCAAACCCTGAACTTTGTGAACAGTGCATGCCCAAGAGAGAACCATCGGAATTTGATAGCGTTTCAGCCATGTTTTACTATTCTTTTTGGAGATAAATTCCTTTTCCACGGGCTTAATTGGAACAGTGCCAGCCTTGGTGCAATTGTTAGCGCAGCAATTGTCACAATGATGTTTTATGGTTCTGCCGACGTTAACATCATCAAACATAACATTAACATGCCGAATGTCTCTAGCACTGCATGAACCGTCCTTTACAGATTTGCCGTTTTGGAGTTGGAAACTGTGGACAGTCCCAGTCACACCGTTAACAATTTTGTCAGGGGTGTCAATATTAACACGCACCATGACCCTAGCTCCTGGACCAATATTTAATGAAGTTGGTAACCCAGCAGTTTTGTTCACATCATCAGTCGTGTAATCTTGGGGTTTCTTGTTCATTTTGTCGTAAACTTTGTCGCCAAAATTAGAAGATTTGTTGAAAACTTCATTGGAGAATCTGTCTTGAGCAACAACATTAACTATTGAAGAGGTTTTGCTCAATTCTTGAACACACTCCTGATTGTGACTATTGCACTGCCTATTGGTTGGATAAATGACCATTGAGTCCATGATTTCAGCAGGTTTAGGCTGTTTCTCAACAACCCTTGAACCCAGCAACTCAATATCCTCTGGGGTGTGCTCTCCTACCCTAAGCCTGTGACAGAGTTCCGTGAACTGACTGTCACCCTTTGCTCTAACTATGTCCGTTAGCTCAGAAAATGTAATTGAATCCTTCCAAATGTTAGGCCCAAGAGCAGCGATACCTTTAGTCTCAAACACCATAGTTTGTTGAACCGCAGGAATCTGATGAAGGTCACCACTGAAGATAACGTTGATTCCCCCAAA